ATAGTAGCTCGAAAACGCAAGACTACGCTGCCGGTGATAACATCCGAGATGCATACCCATCTTCAGAACCTTGTATCCATGAAAACTAATCAACGGGAGTTGCATGCTGCTAACATTCATGGCAGAGTAGCTATTCCAAAACCGTTAGTTTCAGTGCGGAATGCTTTGAAGAGACTACAGTGGTGCCAAGACCACCTAAAATGGACACAACTGCAATGGGAACAAGTCATCTGGTCTGATGAATCCTCTTTTACACTATTCCAGACCACCGGACGTGTGTTCGTGTGGCAAACGCCAGCAGAAGCATTTCATGTAGACTGCCTGGTTCCAACCGTGAAACATGGAGGTGTTTCTGTGATGGTGTGGGGCGCTATATCTGCCCGTGGATTAGGGTCTTTCGTTGTCTTGAGGAGGGGGTTGGTCAAAGAGGACCATTACCGAAGCATTTTTGCAGATCATCTTCACCTTATGCTTTATACTCTCTTTGCGGGAGAACGTCCTGTGTTCCAAGATGACAACGCCCCTGTTCACACGTCTCACTATGTTCAAACATGGTTAAATGAGAATAATGATGAAGTTGACCTTCTAACGTGGTGTCCTCAGTCCCCTGATCTCAATATCATTGAGCCTTTGTGGGGTTTTTTGGAGAAAAAAGTTCGTGCTCGGTATCCTTCTCCATGCACACTCTCTGAACTCGAGACTGCCCTGCAAGAAGAATGGCTGCAAATTCCAATGAACTTTGTTCACGACCTTTATTTGTTAATCCTTTATTTGTTAATCCTTCTCCATGCACACTCTCTGAACTCGAGACTGCCCTGCAAGAAGAATGGCTGCAAATTCCAATGAACTTTGTTCACGACCTTTATTTGTTAATCCTACGCTGAATGCAAGCTGTCATTCAGGCCAAACTTCTCATTAATAAAATATTTTCATTTTTTCACAGGTGTTCCTATTATTTTGTCCTATACCTGTATGCTTCCTATATACACTTTTTCCTCACTCAAATTTCAGGCATTTTTTTTCCTTCCAATTATTTAAAATGTGTTTTAAACACAACATTGTTTGATCTCAATAATCAGCTTTTTGACTTTTAACTACTCCCTGAGGTACCTGTAAAAGTTTAATATTTTCCCCAAACAAATGCTTATATATCAGATTAAAGCAATCCTGTAAATTTAATAATAAAATTCATGCTCCTAACCACGAAAATCAGGGAAATTTCATAAACTCAGTCTCGAAAATTCAGGAATTATTTTTTTCTAAATTCATGGCCATCCTGCAGAAGTCTACTTAATTTTATTTATATTATTGCATGAATGCTGTTTCTTAACGCAAAAGTTTGAAGCAAACAATTTTAGAGATAATTCCTTTTTTGAATTATAAAATTCAATAGATTTTACACAAAAATTCACTATATTATAATAATTGTTATATATTGTTGAAAAGAAACCATATTGGCATGAAGATTTTCTCTTGCTTGTTTTTCTAACTAAATACATAAACATTAGATCTTTAATAAAATTACTAATTTCTTGTTCATTATTGCTGTGTTGAAAATCAATAATGAAGCAGCTAAATGTTTTGCTAAAATTGTGCATTAATATTTTTATAATATTGCTGTATACTTAAGCAAAGAAATTACACTTTAAATTTATAGGCAGTTTGCGAATTCCAATACCTGGTCGCATACAAGAATTTAATAATAATAAAAAAATCTGGCTATGATTTTGGTGGGAAAAAAATTACTACCAGCAATGATGACAAAATAAACTTTTCGAACTGTCTTTCAAAGGTAAATGATAATTTGGTTTTCTGGTTGATATATCTTTTTACTGTTGTAAATATTTTTATATTTTGGTGTTTTTAATGTACATTTGCTGTTTATTTCAATAAACTATTATCTTCACACACACAAAAAAGCAGAATGTATATCAGCGCATCTCCTTATATTTGTTTTTAGCCAATTGTAAAAATTATTGGTACCTTTAAAATTTTATTCATTGACTTATTGTTTTTAGAAAAACACCAAAAATCAAACATCTATTTTTTTCCAGTCTTGAATACAAAAATATTATTGTGAAATTGAACTATTTCTACATAGTTCAATTAATTATTATTAATTTTTAGCTGCTATCCCAAATTATTTTGAGTATTAGATACAATTAACATCCCTAGACAACTATTTCATTATTATTAATTTAATTATCATCATGCACCACTAAAACTAAGAAGGATTTTTTTAGCAGGATTGGCAGTTAGCCAAGTTTCATTTGAGATTTGATGTGCGGTGGGACTGAATATTTGCTGAAGTAAAAATTTCTGATTCAGGCAAAAATCCTGTTTGCGGCTTCAGTTATAGACATTACATTCAATGTAAAATTTTATTCTTTAAATTCCATATTCAATTCGCTATTCCATGTTGTATTTTAATTCTATATTGCTTCTAAAATAAAGAGATGGAGTCCTAAAAGCAAATATTCTTAGATATTTAGTGGTTAGTAATATTTTTGATATAATCACTAACTGAAAGTGCATAACCTAAATATTGTTTTATTTCAGTTATCTTTGTGAAATAGAACAAAAAAAGCATTTTTTGTAGTTTTTTTTCCCCTTCATAAACATCTACAGATATCTCAAAGTTGAAGGGACACAAAAAAAAACCCTTCGAGATAGCGAGTTTTTGAAATAGCAAGTTTAAAACTGAATATCATAGATAAATATATTCTAAAATAGTATTCTTAAGGTAGAGTCATGAAATATTTTAATAACTACTGATAACTATGCATGTAATGAAAGTTGACCATAAGTCTAAATAAAACAATGATAGTTTTATTTCTAAAAGTAAGAAGAAAATTATTATGCATTAAATAGAAAAGAATTGCCTTACAATAAACTTGTATTGTGATTTTTTTTCCGAAAAAATAAATTTTCTACTTAAAAAAAATTCGACATAACAAGGTTTTACGAGGAATATCATCGACATAGGAATTGAAATTAACACTAGGTAGATATGTAATGCCAAGGGGGAAAATATTTATATGAAGTAAATACTGTATTATTTATCCATTTTTCACAAACATCTATTAACCATTAGCTTTTTATGTATAGAAAAAGAGAGAAAAAACATTTTTTCATTATGTAGATCAAACAACAAATGAGATTAAAAAGATTTTATTGAATACTTAATGTTTTCTTGAAGGCTATTTACAAATGGGTATGAGAAAGAACTTTTAGGAGGGTCGTTCATCTCCTCTGATAGCACGATACTTGGCCATTTCATTTGGAAACACTTTGCTCAATTCAACCAGAAGAAGACTTTTGAAACGCTAAAGAGAAAAAAATATAGCATTAGGATCAGAGCCTGACTAAAGCAGGGGCATACGGGGCAGTTGACCCAGGTCCCCACATCAAAGGGGCCCCCAAATCGAATAGAAAGTTTATTTTACATTTCTTTCCTTAATGAACTTTTATTAAACAAAATATCAGTACAGTGAAAAATCCACCTGTTTTATGTTAGCTTCTTCACTAATCTAATCTATATTTCGTAAATCCATTTCATTTTAGGGCGGAATACAGCTAAATTTTCGCAGCTACGACGGTCAAATTTGGCCAATCAAAATCCTGTATTTTTACATATCTCAAACTGCGATTACAGGCTTCTGGCGGGCTTAGTTAAGACTCCGTAATTGCAAAAATTTAGTTGAATTCTTCCCTAAAATCAGCAAGGATTTGAATTTTTCACAGCTAGATAACGAAGTTAACAATCAGAAAACTACATTTGGCATGATGGACACAGAATTGTCAGAAAATTAAAAAATTCGACAGAACGATAGTTCGTCTGACCATTGGATGTGAGGAGGGGGACTTTATAGCTATTCACTTCTAGTCAATTTTCTTGTTACCTATAATGAGGTGAAAAATTTAAATACCTACATAGAGTTCGGTTCTTCAATACTGGATTAGTGAGTGGATGGGGGGCCCCAAGAAGCTTTTGCCCCGGGCCCCAATTAGGCTATGTCGGGCCCTGATTAGGATACATTAATACTAAATATAATATTTCAGGGACATGCTTTAGTGGAGAGAGAAAAAAAATTGGGGGAGAAAAACAGCAAATAAAAATGGCATTTTATTTTTCAAAATAATAAAATCTACTTAATACTCAATAACTTAATATAAATATTGGCTTTTCTGGTGCTATGTGATTATCACGTCATAATGAAAAGCAAATCCTCTGGCACCATCATAATGAAAAGCAATATCCAAAAGAAACATTCTAAACACATTAAATTTATCAAATAATAACAAAATAAATGTAAGAGTAAAAATACACATTGAATTATTCTTGAAACTAACCATATATATTATTATACTCATATAATAATATATATATTATTATATTTATCATTTCGAAGACCAAAACTCCTTGATAACCTTTAAAACACAAACAAACAAGTCATTATCTTTGTCGCCCCCAGATAAATTCATTTAAATATGTTAAAGAAAACTAACTTGTGTAATAAAAAATTACACAATAAATATGATAAAATTTGCGATTATTGGCACAGAAGCTACCTTTTGGGGAAAATGGTTACTTGGATAATCCCAAAGTACCACTTGTCTTTAACTGTTGGGAGCTTCAGGCTTCTTAAAGCCCCCCCCCCCCAAAAAAAGAAGGTTATTTTTTAGAACCAAACAATTTTAGCAAGGGCAAAAGACAATAATGCAAATTTTATTGCAAAAGAATAATAAAATATACTATTTTTAATATCAAAATCTTTGGTCAGAACAAAAAATTTGAATAGTTACTAGTATAATTTAATTTATGGAGCAATGAAAGACTCGTATGCAGAAAATTATTGAAATAAAATAGAATATGGTGGAATTAGTTGTGAAAATGTTGAATAGAACAATGTGGAAAGCACGCTTTTGCATAAAACCTGGCGAAAATTGATAAGGTGAAGAAAAAAATCTCATTTTCGAAAAGGGAAAATTAAGCACTTTTTAAAAACACCCAATGAAAAAAGCACATTTAAGGGCTCTTAAAAATCGAAAATAAGCATCTTAAAGTTTATTTTAAAAATGCTAAGCACCATGCAATATAGTAGATGGTCCCTCAATTCATTATCTATGATTTAATTACTGAATTGATGATTTGAATCAATCATTCTTAAAAGCACTAAATTTGTTACTGAATTTGCTAAATTAATATGTGTATGACCCCTAAATTCCATAAAAATTTGAATTTCTACAATTGATTGTTTTTGACTTAATTCTCTTCTCATATTTTTGACTAATCTCTTACATTTTTTTTTCCTGATTGCTCAGGTTTTTTAACAATTCTTCCAGAAATGCTCTTTTCTTCAAAGAATTTTTTTTCTATTTTCCTCATATCCTAATATCTTCTGGCCTAAATAATAATATGGAGTTTTGGTAGCACAAATTCCATAATCTGTAGGTCTTATTCTTGTCCTCAGTGGCTTTTCTACACTTGTTAAACCACCTGTTTCTTGTGCTAGGTTCTAAACTTAGAATGGTTTCACATGTTGATATTAAACTTCTTTTCTTAACAGAATTCTAATCTAAGTCGTTATTGTATTTTTATTTTTACATTTTAATATCTTAAGATAATTTGCACTCATACTCTTTAAGAATACTTTATTTAATGCTATTTGATGCTTTATTTGAGCAATATACAGCTTAAAATTTATGTTTTTTAGAGATGAGTCTCTCGCTTTTGGAGGCGAGCCCAAGATACACAAAGAGCCCAATTCTGCCCAAGCTACACGTCGCATAAGGTCATAGTTTGCACTCAATATCTAAACAAGGAAATTAGTAAATTTAAACCTCTATTTTTCATTAAATTTTGTAAAATAAAAAGCGAAGAGAAAAACTGAATCAATTGTAAGTCCAAGATGGACTAAAACAAAAATAAAATCAAAATCCTAAAGTCATTTGACGATTAATCTCATGATTTTGCTGTGTGTCACGAAGCAAAGCAAAAAAAAAAAAAACAGAAGTCGCAGAGCTTTGTAATTTCTTTATACCTTATAAATGTATAATTTTTTTTACTTAATTTTATTATGAATCTGAGTCAGAAACCTTTTTACAGAAAATGAGGCAGCACCGGGTTTGGGCTGAGGTTGCCTCATTTCTAGTGCTTTTCCTCTTAGCATAGAATTTCGCACACAGTCTAAAACTGATGTTGAAGATAACAAGGGTATTTTAAGTATCAACACTTACACACACCTATCATACTGTTGCATGTTAATGTTTCTCAGAATTTAATTTTTTATTACATCTCTAGCATAATAAATTGATAAATTAAAACCAGGTTATTATACCTAAGAATAAAACTTACTCTATACGAATCAATTTTTCCTTTAACAACTTCATTTTTGTTCAAAGCTTTCTCCATGCAGTCTTTGGTGTACAGCTGTGGATTTCTTCCTTGATCTATGTACCTATTAAAAATGAGTAGAGATATAATCAATGAATAAAATGACAAATTAATGAATTCTTTTTAGATCAAGGAAAGTACATATAAATTTTAAGCTGTAACAATGTTTTTTGCAACTCTGAAGTTATTTTTCTGAGGTAATGGAAATAATTTTTTCTAGTTATACTATATTTACATAGGAAGCTTTCAACAAATAACTTTATTAAAAAAATAATTCCTTTTATGTGAGTTGCATGGATGACTTGAAATATGAAGTTTGAGCCAATCAGGGTTGACTGTCAACTGAGGTTACTGTATTTTTACTATTTTCTAGAAAGAAAAAAAAATATTTGTTCAGCAAATGAGCAGTTACTCATTCACCTTATTAAAAATTCTGGTTGTAATAAGAAACTTTATATCAAGACTTTTTATTTTCTAGCTACTTTAAAAATTTAAGTTTAGAAGTAGTTAAATTTCACAAATGTAGCCATAATTGTAATATTGAGAAAATAAATTATACAGCATACTCTCGATATTACATATTCTTCTTCACTGTAGTCTCTATGCGAGTGCCCGAATGAATTTAAAGACTGATTTGAGACGTCTTTCAATTTGTTGGCCACCTGTCTTATCAGAACTGGTCAAAAGTATTGAAAGTCTTGCGGCCTTGCGGAATTTTGTTTTCAATGTAAATTTGTAAATTTTTCTCCTTTTGTTTTCTACTTACAACTGTAAGCCTCATGCTATACTTTGTGGTGCATGAGGAGTTTTAAGTCGTTTAAATAAAATAAAAAATACTCTCGATATCTCAAAAGCTTTGTTATGTCCAAAAATTATTTTTTCCCCTGCCATTACATATCCACCGATTGGTAATTTTAATTCACATGTCGAGGGGTTTCTCGAGGGGGGGGGGAAATCACACTGTGAAAGAAAGCCATATTTAAGATACGGAAATAAATTTGTAATATTGAAATAAATCATGGTTTTGAAAATGGAGTCTTAAAACTAGGATTTGCAGGATTTTTGTCGACATCATGTTATTTGCGATAATCATTCAACACCAATATCATGTTTTTTTTATCCATACTCAACATATACTTTTTACAGATACACTAAATTTATACTTTGTTCTTAGTTTATTATCTCTCCTGGGTTATAAATGATATTCTGAAAAATTCCAGAAGAAACATTACTTTCAAAATGTAATTTGATAAATGCCATAACTTATTGTTTAACAAGTACAGTACAGAACCCCTTATCCGGAAATCAGAAAACCGGAAAACCAAAAAACCGGAACGAAATTCAATAAGTTCTCTCGCCATTTTTTTTAAAAAATTTTTTTTTTCCTCATAAGATTTCAGGATTTTTCTTTCTTTTTTGAAAGAAGTTTACTTTACCATCATTTTGGAAATAATCATTAGTGTATTACTTCATCGTTTTTTCTTCTTTTTAAGATTATTTCCAAATATTTTTATTTTTAGTTGAGTTTGACAATAAAAAAACGGCTTTTCGTAGTGATTCAGAAAACCGGAAAAATCAGTTATCCGGAATAGCGTTGGTCCCGATCGTTCCGGATAATCGGTTCCCTACTGTACTATTAACATACTTTCACTAATTGAAACTCTTCAGCACAGTTAACAGTATAGTTACAATAAATTTTAAGAATCTCAAAATCATTGACCAATTTAAAACATCTTATATTACAAGAATTTGTAAATTTTTAAATTAATGATTTTTTAAAAAAAACAAAAACATTTTCTTAAAAAACAGAATATTATCATTAACGAGAAAATTATGGTATTAAATAGCAAACAAATATATATTGCTTGTTAACACGTTTGACATAAACATAAAATTTATTAGTCACAAAATAAATGAAGAATTGCAATGATATTGATGAAATAACATTAGATAGATTACTTTTAAATATTATAGACCATTAATATATATAAAAAAAAAATGTAAAACAAAGTTAACTTTAATTAGATTGAAAGTTTTGTTAACCAATTCAGTCTTCCTGAAATTTTGAACCAGTCTAAAATAACCTGAATATTTCAAAGGCGATCACAACTCTTCTGGGTAAAAAATAATAAGAGAAATTGTAAGCACATATTGTGTATTTACGATAAAAAAGCAATGATTGGTTGTAACAAAGATACAAACTAGTAAAATTTATGTTTAGTTGCCTAGTGGCGACCATTAATTTTGCCCCACAACTTAAAGAATAAAAGAAAATTATAAATGCGTCAGTAACACAAGTTGAGAGGACAATGAGTAGCTATAAATAAATCTAATTAGAACTTACTCAAATACTTCTAATGGCACTTGAATATCTTGCACTTGATTTTTACACTTGTCAATTTCTTGCATATATGTAACCATTTGTGTTCTATTAAAGAATCAAAAGTAAAATTATGAGAAAAAATATCTAACAGTTTTTTTTAAAAAAAATATTTACAACATTACAAACCATTTAAACTTTAAAATAGAAAAAATAGTCTGGTTAAACAGTTGCCTCTGTGCAGGATTAGAAAGTGCCTGATTCATCATTAAGGCCTTAGAGATCCAAGCTTAGCCTCCTCTCGAAGCTAATTTTTTTTCAATGCTTTTTCTTAAGAATTATCTATTAGCATAATTAGTCCACAAAGATGAAAATAAATATAAGCTCGATTGTCATAATTTACTTTGTTCTAAATAAAGCATTTTGTATATAAATGTGAAACTTTAGTCATAACCATCCATTGGGAACCCAATAATTCTTACAATTTCCAGATTTCTTAAGCAGGCCCTTGGCATAGATTTTGTTCTATATCATAAGTTACTTTTTAGACTACATGATGCAGGTTTTAGACAACGAAATCGGAACTCCTAAATAAAGTTACAGGACTCGAATAACCAGCAAAACTGAACACAACAGTTCATACACATTAGACACCATGATTGATCTGTTATTAACAATTACCAATGACTACTATACCAATGACTTTAAATACCGAGAAAATTCATAACTATCAACAATTAGAACAGGGCATGGAGTTTTAATTTTAAAGTACTAGCTAGACTAAAATCTTAGCTTGCTACTATCTTCATGAAAAGTTTTCAAGATGCTAACAGATGTAGACACTTATTGGTGACCAAAACCATAAAAGAATGTAGAATATGAAAAACTGGAACATGTTTATCTCTAAATTGCAGGCATTAGTTTCAAAAGTTTTAACGGTTCTACTGTTATCCACAAATCATTCATTACAAGTCATTAAAGAAGAAAAAAAATTAAGACATTGAATCACATACTTTTAATGAAGTTGACATTCATGACACCTAAATACCATAAACTTAGCATCAAATATCTATACCTCGCATTAACCTTTGTTAGGAAAGGGGTCAATTTATAACAAATTTATAACAAGTCAGCAAGCATCTCAGTCATCAAAGAGGGTCTGTAAGTTATCTTTGGTTTATTATGACAGCTGAAGCTTCTTTCACAGACGGTAGAAATAAATTAAAATATTAAAAATACAATTGCGTCACACATAAAACAATATTTACAAAATTTAAATACCAATAAGCAAAAGAATCTTGCTTTAAATAGAACATTTTACCTTTCTAGCTCCACTTTTATTTGTTTACTAGAATTTATTAATCAATTTTGGTGGCAGACCTAAATTTATCAAGTTAAAGAATATTTCTATATCTTCATCTTTTAATCTTTAAAAGGACACCTTTTTTGGGGTGGCTATGAGGTGTACCATTTGAGCTGGTCCCTTTCTGTGATGTTCTTTTCAGTTGCTCGTAAACCACTGCCCAGAAATTGCCAAGACTTGGCAATTATTCTGCCGCAGATCACGATATGGAAATCTCCCTGTAGCAAACAAACTTGAATTTTGTGTGACTATTACTAACAACACGACATCCACTTGTTCATTAGAGAGATTTGGGTTTCAACAAATAAAAAGCTTCTTTATCTCCAATTTCAAGGAATTTTTCTTTGCTAACTCAAGGTGTCAAAAACTTAGAGCTGAGCATTTCTCATGAAAAGTGTCAATTTATNCCTTGCATTTATAAACTTAATTTATAATATTTTTAATTCACCACTATTTTTAAAAAAATTAAGCATATACATTAATATGTAATACTGTTCCAGTAATCTGCATAAGCTTGTTCATAATACAGCAAATGTTTCTGCCTAAAATTGTAATTCGCATTTCATTTTACTACCACTAGGGAATATCATCCTTGAAAGGATTAAAAGTTGGCAGGTATGCTATTACTAACAACACAACATCCACTTGTTCATTAGAGAGATTTGGGTTTCAACAAATAAAAAGTTTCTTTATCTCCAATTTCAAGGAATTTTTCTTTGCTAACTCAAGGTGTCAAAAACTTAGAGCTGTTAACACATCTGTTGACATTAGATTACCTACAGTTTTTTCGTATGAGGCACAACTTTACATGCTGAATTAATATCCCTTTGAAAGTACCTATGAAACTATTATTCACCATTTTTAATATTTGTTAACTGGATACTAAAAATTTTAGGAAAAATATGGTGAATGATTTGAAACGTAACATTCTATAAGACAGAACTTACTTGCTAGTCCTAAATATTAGGTCGTAAATGGCGAGCTGGCAAGTGAAAATTTCTTGTTTTGATAGGATAGAAAATGCTATGGATAAATTATTTCAACTAGTTAGTGATATGAAAGGATTTACTAGTTATCAACAGTTTAAAACTCATGCTTAAAATTTTTACTTTTTTGATTGCACTACATCAAATTTTAGTTGTTTGTAATTTGAGTAATTTTTAGTTGTTATACTTAAAAAAAAACTGTATTGGTCCATTTAAATTTCTCCCATTTTGACCAGTTTCTCCCACTTTCTTCCAGTCTACTAGGAAAAACTTATTTCTTCCAAGAAATAAATAAGTTTCTTCCACACAAAATGCCGATGCTGTGTTAATCAGAAAGACACATAGGTAGGCTATACCTTTAGGATGCAAGATAGAGATGGGTTATTATCTTTTTTGGTTTCAGGTTTAAAAAGGAGAAAATTATTCTACTTTTACAATTGATAGAAAAAAACTCTAGGTTTTATTTTCTTTGTTCTAAACTTTTCCCTCACAAAGTCAAAGTTATAAAATTAACAGTAAAAATAATCAGCGGCTGCTGTGATAATCTGCAATGTTCGCTCCTGTGTTGCAAGAATATTGTTAAGCAGGCTTATACAAATACATTTGAGCACAGACAGAATAAAAGAATCAGATGAAATGCTAAAAACTGCAACTTTACGCTTTATTACCAGTTAGCATTTATGGATTTAAAATCATCTATAAACAGCTTGGAAAATCATGGTGAACACTGAATTTCTTGTAGAGCAATTCCTTAAAAACTCACTGTAAAATAGGATATATTGAAAATGCACATACATTTTCATTTAAAATGGAAAAATTAAACATTATACCAACTATACCATTATAACAACTGCAATTTTAGATTCGGCAAGTATCTTGAAGGTGAATAGTAATCATGCTACAAAAATGAAAGGAAAAATATTGGCTGAAAAAGTGTTTTAACTAGCCTTTAACCTCTATTATCATAATATTAAAATAATTTCATGGATGAACAGGTAATATTGAAATAGGTGACTGGTCTTTATAGATTTCAGATAAAATATAGGCGGCACTTATAATTGCCGTAGTTATGATAAAAATCCCAAAGTGATGATTAACTTCCTTAATAAAATTTTTTTATAAACAAAAAAGTATCTCACATTTTCTGATTCAAAATAGTTTGCCCCTGTGGTTGAAAATCACTGACAATGATGCCTAATTGACGAACATTTTCAATAAATAACTCCAAGCAACCCTCTAAATTTTCTAAAGGAGCAGACATTGTTTCCTTTAAAACTTTTTAAATAACTAAGATACTTTAATAAAAAGAACTTATTTCCAACTGCGCGACCAAATCACTCAAATGAGAAAAATAGAAAATTTTACGAAGAAAACAAAAATTAATGGTAGTTAAAGTTACAGCTTTTAATAACAGAGGTCATTGACTTTATTTTTAAAAAAAATTGTGTTGATTTCGAAGAAGATGCGGATTATAATTTGTTTGGAACTCATTGCTAATTTTAAACTTTTAAAAGTTTTATTATTGGAGTTATTATCTATTTGAGTATCATTAACTTCAACTTTGAATTTTCCTATAAATAAATGGAGAAGAAACAAGTAGAAGAGAGCTTCAAAAGAGAAATTTTCGTTTACTTTTGTTATCAAAATAATTGATCAAACTTAACACGTTTATCATCGGTATTTAATTATTGGTCAACAATTTCTATTATATAATATCCCTTATAATAATAGTAAAAAATTTCTTAAAAATTCGTCTAGTTTGTATCAATAAATTTTATATTTTTGAAAAATAAAATGTCTAGTAGGGTCTTAAAAAAACTACACGGAGAAAAAGATCTTGCAGCAGCTTTGGGCATCGATGGTATGAGTGAATCTGATGATGGCGATATCAGTCTACGAGGATCTGTTGACAAACCTGTGAATAATCGATTTGAATTGGTAAAAGGCTATATACTTGAATAGAAGTTATTTTCACGTCATTTTAGGAGAAGATTTCCGTCTCGGTATCTACATCAAAATATAGTCTCTTAACTCCCTAAATATTTTTTTAAAATGAAAAAATCAGAAAATTCGAAAGGAGTTAGTCGTTGCTACCCCTTGGCAAACCGTAGCATAATTTGCAAGTTAAAATACTTGCAAGTTTTTTTTTCTGCAAGTTAAAATACCTGTTGGCGAAGGTTGTAGGCGCGAACACATTCTGTTACAGAACTGTCTTCTATACCGTGATGTCAAATTAGTTGAAATGCCTTTATGTGCAAATTTTTTGAAACCAATTTAATGTCATTGGAAAACATCTTAAAGCAAACTAATTATCTGCTGGATTTTGCATTTTTAAAAAGATTTCTGACCTGTGCTAAAATATTCACCTAGTTTTTGGTCAGAATTGTAAAAAAAAAAATCGCTTAAAAGTGCTTACTCGATATGTGGAACTCCTACATTTGAGATTCATATATGAATACTTATATATTATAAGCTTAGTGAGACATAAAAATATTTATGTGTACTCCAAAAGGCATGAAAACACTATTTACATCATTGTGCATGTATGCATAGAAGATAATTGCTATTTGGTTAGGATAAATATCTGAGGGGAGATTTGTGGCAGAATAATCGCCAATTCTTGGCAGCTTGGCCCTCTAGAAACATTAAAAAAAAACGTCACAGAAAGGAACAAACTCAAAAGATAAAACTCTAAGTTACCCCTGGGCAAACATCTGGATGTTTTAAAAAAATTTTTTTTTTGCAAGCTTGAAACCTATTTGGCACCTTGCCGCGCCAGATGCGGAAATATCCCAGTATCTGAAGCTCTACAACTGTTATTTTGAAATTCTAAAATTAAGATGTGTTGATTTTACAATGAAGACATGCTGATTCTAAAAGACAGATTTTGTATTCAATGATAAATTTCAATTTTAGCAATTATAGTTCATGAATTGCAAAAAGTTCAATAATATAATTATGAGTAGCAGGAGCAGACTCCAAGAACTTAAGATTGTCGTAACTACTGCAAATTATTTGGGGATCTTTCTGTATCGTGGTCTGTCGCCAAATGGATTTTAAATTTGCAAATTTTTAATAAAAAAAAATGTGGATGTTTGCCTAGGGGTGGTTACGAGTTATACCTTTCGAGTTGGTCCCATACTGTGATGTTTTTTTTTTAGGCCAATGCCCGGAAGTTTCCAAGAGTTGGCGATCCACAGATCAGGATACAGAAATTTGCCCAATTATTTTTTGGCAGAATTAATATTAAATATCATTATAACTTAATATTATTCTGGTCTTAATACTAGGAGACTAAGACCCATGCTCGCTGACTCTCAACTACCCTGATGATTGCTTCGCAATAATTGCTGTTTCTTGGCATAAAACAGTTGAAATTATTCAACTAAAAATATATATACTAAAAAGAGTACTTGTGCCGCCACATCCCACGTTCAAATATTTCCCTTATGATACAATAAAGTTCTATTAGTGAACATAAATCATTATTTTAAGTAATCATTTTTTGAAATAACTTTTAAAAGTATATTATTATAACAAATTTGGTGAGTTCACAACTAGAATTTGATTATTAAGACCAGACACTGATTTATATATAACTTTATCTTAAAATGTAATGTAGAATTACATGATTCTAATAATAATAAAAATTATCCTCCTAAACTCTTAATTTAGAAGTCAAAAACATAATAACAGGAAATTTTAACCTTTAAATTAGGAAAACAATAACTTTATGACGTATGTAAATTTGATGCTGATGACAACCAATCCAGTATGAAAATTAATGTGGGAAAACTGAAACCTACCATGTGATTTTCCGGCCAATAAAAAATTTATAGTTAGGTATTTAGCTATATTGTTTGAGCTCCTATTTTGGACTCTTTTTTAAGCACCTTAACCTTTTTTAATTTTGCAAACTCTCTGATTTAGAATTGCTGAAAAATGTTTTATAATTAAACAAAATCACATGATTTTCAAATATTATTTAAATATATATTTTTATAATTTAGTAAAGTAAGAGTTTTTAATTTATTTCAGCTTAATAGTGTGGAGCATTCATTATCTGATACAGAAGCTAAGGAGGATGATGATCGAGAGAATGAACCTCCCACTGAAGGCCAAGAAAGAAACAAGTTGGAAAAACAAGATTCCACTCACAGTACTGATAGCTTGAAGCGTAGGAAGAAAAAAAAGAAAAAGAAGCTCAAAAGTCAAAAGAGTACTGAAGAAAATTTAGATGATGGTGTAAGTACTAATGTTAAAGTTTTATAGACTCCAGCGTAAAATTTATTGGTAGCCTAAAAAAAAAGGTTGTACTTTTCTAGGAGAACCAGACACAAGAAAATTCAATTATTTTTTTTTGCCAATGTTTTTTTCTTCTTCTTTATATTTAATTTTTTATCAGCATCTATTTTGTTCGGTGTATCTTCAGTGTTCACTGGACCTTCAGCAATCTTGGTATATTTGTTCGTGTCTTTCTCCATCATTTTTACTTTGCAGTCTGTGTTACTCTTCACTTTCCAGGCTATTAAAAGTATTGGAATTATTAAAAAAAACAATATAATAAGTAAATAAAAATCAAAGAATACTAATGTGAACTTATCAAATTGAATAAATTTTAGCAGAAAGGTATTTTAGTATTATTAGCTTCCCACGTATGGCCAAGTGCTGATTTTAAAAAGTTAGGACTTTTAATTGTTGTGACTGTTCTTGGCTCAGTTTTTAATTCTAAATTTAAGCCTCTTTGTTCAGTAATCTATGGTAGGTTTTGATTTGTTAATAGTTTGAGAAATGTATTTATTATTTTTTTTTAGGATGATGAAATTGAAGCTTCAATTAGGGAGGTTAATAAATTACTAGGAGAACCAGAGGCACATGCATCTTTTCATCGCCAGAGTTGTGATAAACTTCCTCATGAAAAATCTGTTTTGTCTATTGATCTGCGATCCTTAAACCCGGATAATGAGATGAAAAAAATATTTGGATCTAAAGTTGTCCAAAATGAACAAGTGTAAATATTTATCTTATTATTTTTATTTTTTATGTTATCTGTAAATAGTGCGTAATATTATTCAAAAAACAATATTTTTCTATACTTATGTAATTATAATTTCTAAATGAAATAGTCAAAATTGTTTTGTATATAATTATTACTAATTTACAAGAAAATTTAAATCATTATTATTTTTCTCAAGCTCCATACCCAACACACTTATAAACTTCTAAAGATGATATTTTTTTTTAAAACTGAAATAAAAGAAAATTGAAAGTTTATTAAACTGCAAAATGTTTTATCTACAGCCGAAAGGAAATCATAATACTGAAAAGCTTCATGTTACTTTTATCCACAATTAATCTATTTTCTTTTCTTTTTTTCTGTATTTAACATCAAATAACAATTTATATAAATTTCTGTCTCATTATTTCTCTATATAAAACCTTTATTATCAATAAAATATTACTTTGAAAATAAAATCAAACTAAATAATAAATTTACTCTTAAGAGCATATTTCTAATTTTTACTAAAAATATTTTTGACTTAAATCGATGCTTTTTTTTAAAAAAGAAATCACTGATTGCAAAATCATCTAGTTTGCATTTGATTACATACAAAGCACCCTTTTCATGTCAAACAAGTAACAACGTTAAAGTAATTTTTTGGTGCATGATATAATTTTAATTTATTTTATTCTGTTTCACTTTTCAGAGCATGCAATATGTCAATTTGTATTGATATTTTTTTTAATTTTATTTAGAAAAAAGCGAGGGAGGGGCAGAGGGCATGGGAGATCTTCTATTTTAGTGTCACAAAAGAACTGGCCACATATAGGAAAACCAGGTAAAGAATTCTCTTATTTTAACACACTAATTATTGGTTGTTTACCTATACATATAATTGTTTCTCTACTTTTTTAGGTTTGTCTATGAGATTGCTGGAAACTAAAGGTAATCTACATTATTTTGCTTTTGAACACAGTAAACAATACCAGACTATTCAACTTCAGTTTTTGGAAGCAGTTGAAAGCTTTAATCCGGAAAATATTGTGGTAAAAATGCTAATTTTTCTGTGCTTGTCCAAATTATTATTTATCACTTAATCGAATATTTAATATGTTGTGTAGCATTTTTAAAAAGTGCTTAAAGGTGCTTATTTTTGTTTTTAAAAACCCTTAAAGGTGCTTTTTTATTTTGGTGTATTTAAAAATTGCTTAATTTCCCTTTTTTTGGAAAATGAGATATTCGTCAGGTATTATACAAAAGCATAGTTTTCTCTTTGTTCTGTTTAACAGTTTTGCAATTCATTCAAAGACAATGATGCATTTTGGTGTACTGTCAATCTGTAGCGTATTAAAGCACTTGATGAAAAATTTGAGGGTCCGCATGTGCGTATACTGAGCTGAGTTCAGTAAGTTCTATGCACTCTCATGTGCAACTCTGCTGCATTTTGCAAGATATTCTCAATTTCAGACTTCGTTTTCCACCCTTTGAAATCAAACTGAAAAATTTCTCGATCTTTTTATGGTGGCTAATGCAATCAGGAAAAGAGTTCTTTGTCAGAAACTAGTTATTTAGGTGCTTATTTTTTGTTTGAAGATTTGGCTACACACTCTGTTCAAGTCTCTTTTCTTTTTTTTTGCTAAATATATTGTTAATTAGTTCTGTTTTTTTTCCCATTTCAATATCCTTTTTTCAGTGTTTTTTATATCCACAAAACTACCCTCAGTAATGAGATGTTATTGTAGGCATTGCTCAACACTTATCCATATCACATTGATGCCTTGTTACAATTAAGTGACATTTGTAAAATGGGAGATGATTCTCAAATGGCAGCTGAACTGATAGGTTAGTTTATTTATCAAGCCATTGTCTTTAGATTTATACCAATGTGCGTGCTTGTTTGTAATCCATATATTTTTTTCTTTCAGAAAAATCTATTTTCATTATGGAGTGTTGTTTTCATCCCTTATTTAATCTTGCCTCTGGAAACTGCAGGCTGGATTATCGAATAACAGAAAACAGGTAAAAATGCTGATTCATGTAATCTTTGAGAGATCTGAATATTTAAGGCATTTAATATGTTAAATCATTTTTTCTTTTTGATATTTTTAAAATTTATGTAGTTTTTTTTTTTAAATAATATCTTTTGTATGAATGTGTTTCTTTTGCAATCTGACTGGAGACTTAATAACATAACATTTTAAATACCGAATTGTTTAATTTTTATAACTCATATTAAAGTGTCTTAAATATGTCAATTATAAATAATTTGGCATGCACAAAGACTTACCTGTAAGTATTAATACTTAAGTATGATATTTATACAAATATACACTAGTATTTTCTTTATAAGAAAGAAGACAGTATTTGCACTGCCTTCTTGCTCTTGATACTGCCTTCTTGATTTTGACTATTAGCCCTCTTGTTTATGGCTTGTATATTTAAAAGTAAAGTAACTAGCCCTAATGGACCATTAAAAAGTTTACTTTTCAATGCACAATACATCACAATGTAATAAAACAAATTAAAAATTAACCAGGGCCACAGTCATGAATTTATTTTTTATAGGATTCAACTTTATGTGTATTTGTGTGTAATAAAATTTGACTATTCAATCTTTAATATTTTAAATTTGGTTATTGATCAGCACAAATACCAAGATCTATCCTTATTTTCTTGCAACTCAGTATTACTAATGTCTCACATGAATTCAAACTCCAACATTCTCTGACTAAGAATGTTATTTTTTTTCCCCTAAAGGAAGTTTGAAATTTGTTTACATACATTATCATTTGCATTTTCTGCTAAACGTTTTCTTATGTATCAAGTAAAATGTAAATATTTTAAGCTCGATTTTATCACGAAAAATATTTCTAAGTATATATTTTTATTAAATATAACTTTTTTCATTCTGAATAACTGAATATTTATTTACTTCTGATACTCAAGTGTCAATAATAAAATAATCTTTATTTAACAATTAACAAAAAAATGAAAGTATTAATCAGCTATCATGAGTATTCCTCATGACACAGGACTTGCGTGTTGGCTGTTTCTGTGATTAGGAAAATTAGTCCTATCAAATAAGGGTTTGAGGTTAACTCTTTGGATAATGTTTGGCTTGGAAGAGTTGTTTTGTTTTTTTAATTTTCGTCTATTAGAAATTAATGACAAAGTTGTCTGCGATTGGAGCTGTTATTGATTAATTGAAGATTGTGATGAAAACAGGATAATGAAAATGATGGTTGAAGAAGAAAACTGGATCATAATTATAATAAAACTTTTATTCAGTGGTATTTGTAGAGCTAGAGATACAAAATTAAAAGTATATTTTATCCGTAAGACTCTCTAAGTTGTCTAATAAATTTTGCATAATATTATCAATAAGGGAAGGGGTAGAAGATAAATCCCCCATAGCCAGCTTAATCAAAAGCCAAATTAAAAAGTGATTGATATCTTCCCAACAGACAGTTAGAAGCATGGAAAGAGATCCATAGTTGGCGTTTTTTCGAAAAATAAAATTGATAAAAACAAAGCCTATTCCCCAAAATCAATATAAAAGTTTAAAATAATTTGCCTATAGCTAATCACCAAAAATGATGGTGAGAATTAGTATAACCCTGTAGCTGAAACATTGTTTTGGCAAGGGAAATAAAGAAAGTTATTTATCGATTTTGTTTTCGATTTACTGGCGACCGTGAATTAATGAGTTTTACATTTGTATTGAATTAAAAAGTTAACCGTTACATTGATTGTGAAGAAAAGAATAAAATATTTATATTTGCATTTTACAAAATGTAATAAAAATTAAATAATTGGTTTAATTTAATTAAAATTTGATTAAGAAAATAGAAAATATGTAATGCCTTTTATGGCATCGCAGAAATGATTTTACTCTTTGTTTCCACAGAGACAAAGAACCTCATACCTTCAATCGGGAATATTTTTTATTGATTTCTGGACAGCACTATTTGGAAGATACTATTTCTTCATTGTTTTCTTTTATTAATAAATTTTATAAATTTTAAGATAAATTTTATTGATAAATTTTAAGTATGTCACTATGCATTCTGTTCTATTTATCTCTTTTTGCCTTGTTTTTCTTGTTATTTTATCCTTTTTGTTCTTTTAAATTGGCCTGCCATTGGAAATTAAAAAAATAAATAAATAAAATAAATTTTATTGATTGTTTTAGGGGTCATTTGACGCCATCATACCATTAATAGAGCATTATTCTTGTAAATTGATGTTTCATTGTGTTATAAATTTGTTTCTTTTTGTTTTTAATCTAATAAAGCTTGTTTCTGTTCTATCAGGTCATTTTTCATTGCACTTTTCAAACATTTGGTAATTATTGGGCTGAGAGGATGTAATCGTACTTCCTTAGAATTCTGTAAGCTTTTACTTAGGTATGTTTCATACAAATCAAATTTTTCTTCAAGTTTATATTTTGCTCATAATTATAGATATGCTTTACATATAATAGTACTGAAAGAAAACACAAATAATTAAGATCAAAAGGATAAAACTTCTTTGAAAAAAAACGCGCTAAGAAGCAGCAGAAATTTCAGAAAAAAGTATCAATACAAAACAAATGAAATAAAATAAAAATATGACCACCGAAGCCGACATCTTCAGGGGGTACCGGCCCCGGTAGCCATTAAAAACAAAACCATTTCTATTTGAGGGAGAAGCAAAAGCTTAAAATATCTCCCTCAGTACCCCGATGGTTTTGTATAGAGGTCCAGGAAAAACAAGATACATTCAAAAGAATAAACANCACGGAATTATAAATAAATAAACTTAATTTATAATTAAATTAATGTTATGAAACCCAAACACTTGATTACTCTTTTGTGTAAAGTATGGGGACCGTAATTTCCTGGTTGCCTCTCTATCCTTCACTTATTTTGATAGTCAAAAAGCCAAACTTATCGAAAAAAGGTATGTTTCTTCAGATGAAGTGCAGTTTTGTTTCTTATTATCTAATTTAGTTAATAGTTAGCTCTAATTAATTAGCATATTTGAAGTTCTCCTTTTGAATCATTATGATTAGCACTTAGTTCATGAAAATTCGATTTTTTAGAACAAAAGTTATTTAGGGTATATTTTTCATTTTGTACACTGTACTTGCATTGTTTTGCATGAATGCTTATAAAAACAGCTGATTAATAATCAAATTTTATTTTATCCCTTTGATAGTTAAGAATATTAAATACAATAAATATAAGGACTGTATATTCATTTTATATTAATTTAGTGTATATTTAAACGTTGCTTTCATGAGATGGGAACTTGATTTCAGCTAAAAGAAATCTGAGAATATTGAGTAATATTCTTAAGAACTAAAATCTAGGAAAATGTTGCAACAAACATGCGAAAGACTAATCTTATCTTAAAATTGGCATTAACTTGGAGCTCTGGTAGTTCAAAGTTATTTATTTCAACTTCTGTTGCACTTATTACTTGCAAAAATTTTGCTGAAAATTTAACATATATTTTTTCATTTTATTATCTACTTATACTTAACCCTAATTTAACTTACGAATATATTGATTTATAACCATATAGCCATAGTGGATTGCCAGCCATAAATTTTTTATCATGCCTGAAAACGAGCCATTGAGATATGAACCATTGCAGAGAAAGTACTGGAAATTACAGTTATTTATTTATGTCTATTGTATATTTTTTTCTAAAAATACACTTAAACTGTTTTGTATTTACAGTTTTATAACTTGAAACAGCATTATATAATACTCTTATTACAAAGCGATTTTTTTCTCACCGCTTCCGTATATTAAATAGTTACTATGTAAATCCTTACCGTTAAATAAGTCTGACTAATATGATCCGTAATAAACTAGAACTAATTTCCTTCTAATTTTAATCATTATAATTGAATAACGTATATAAATTAATAAGTATTTATAAATAAATAAGTCTATGTAAATAAATATATATATATAAATAAATAATATATCATGGTGGGTAGCCTTTTTAAAAAGTGCTTAAAGGTACTTATTTTCCATTTTCGTTTTTTAAAAGCCTTTAAAGGTGCTTTTTTTATTCGGTGTTTTTAGAAAGTGCTTAATTTTCCCTTTTCAAAAATTGGATTTTTTCTTTACCATGTCAATTTTTGCCATGTATTGTGCAAAAGCGTAGTTTTCACATTGTTCTATTCAACGTTTCACAATTCATTCCAACACAATGCATTTTGGCATCCCGTCGGTCCATAGCGTATGAAAGAGCCAATCATTTCTCAAGTTTGATGAAATACTTGCAGGTCCGCATGTGCACATACAGAACTGGATTCGGTGAGATTCTTGCTGTCTCACGTGCTCTCTGATTTGTAAGAAATTCTCAATTTCAAGCTTTCCACTCTCTGAAATCGAACCAAAAAATCTCTTGATCTTTTTGTGGTGGCTAATATAATCAGGAAAAGAGTTCTTTAGGTCAGAAACTAATTATTTTATCATGTGAAAGTCTTAAAAAATTATTTTGCATTTTGGTAACGTATATGGTTCTTAAAAATATTTTTTGAGTGCTTAAAAAGTACTTATAAGGGAGTTAATTTTTGTTGAAAGATTTGGCTACGCACCATGAATATAAATAATATTTATTAATAAATTAATTTGAAATCTAAATTAAAATAAAGAAAAATTAGTATGAAGTGTAATTAAATTAATAAAGTGGAATAAAAAATCAAATTAAGTATAGAAAATTGAGTAAAATTAAATCTAAAAAACAAAATTAAAAACTGTTTTCACTAAATTGTGTAAAGGTTTTTCTCAATTTCACACAAAAACATGACCTTTTACAAAACATTTGGATTAAATACAAATACTCACTTTTAATTCTTCTTTTCAGCTTAGATCCAGATGAAGATCCATTGGGAGTTATTCTAATGATTGATTACTATGCACTGAGATCTTCCCAATATGAGTATTTGATAAAACTCTACTACGAATGGAATCCATCTCGAAATCTCTTCCAGTTGCCAAATTTTGCGTTCTCCGTTGCACTCGCCACATATTTATTTTCTGTAGAAGATGATGAACCAACCCATGAGGCTGATCTTATGGTAAGTAAAGTTCAGTGAAACCTCCAAGAAAGACTACCTCTAGTTACGACCACTTTTTAGAGGCACAGAATTTTTTCCATGGACTTTGTGTTTCAGAAAACTTTTAGGAGAGACCATTAAAGCGTCTCCCAGCGACTGGGCAAACAACTGCACCAAATACGGAAAAGGCCAAATTAGGAAATATTAAAAAATTTCAAAACTGAAAATTTAACAAAACAAATAAGAAGATTAAAATGTATTCAAAATACTTTTGTGAGGCTCTTATTTAGAGGGCTCTTATTTAGAGAGTTCTTTTTGACGATACAACCTCATGTTGCAGTCAGAGTGCACTGAAGATGATGCTATCAATGATTTACTTAAAGAGTTGAAAGTTAAATGAGAAAAAAAAGTTATGTTAGAAAAGACAAACATTTCAAACAAACAGACCTCTTCTTATCTTTTAAAGATAATTAGTTTTTATAATGTAAAATTAAATGCAAACTTTAAAAGAAAAAAACATAATTGTTTATTTATCTAAAATAGCTTTATCATTCATAATTGGTAAACTTGTTTTTACACATAATTATATAAGTTTGGAATATTTTTATAAACGATAAATTTTATTTAGCCATCCGTCTTTTCATGACGCCAACAGAAGTGGCATTTCCACATCAAGAAAATGACGCTAACTAAAATTAAACTTGTTTTCCAAAAATCACGTACCTTTGATAACAATTTTGAAGTCATTGGAGGTAACCTCTAAGAATGATCAACCTCCATGAACGACCATTTTACTACAGAACGGAGAGTGGGCGCTCCCGAGAGGTTTTACTGTATTTTAATTCGTAATAACTCTGCAATAATTCAGGTTGAGCATTTTTTAACTTAAAGAAGGTTGCCAATTTATTCAATCATTTACTAAAAAAAAAATTTCAGTCAAATTTAATAATAAAGCTTTCAAAAAATGCCTAAAGATAAATTTTTTATGTCAAAAATGTAAACTCAATTTTCTTAAAACATAAATATGATGAGATTTTAATTTTATAGTTCATGATTGAAAAGTTAAGTAAAAAATTACATATGCAAAAGTAATAATTTGGCCTATTTGAATCCCAATTAAAACATAATTTTTATTATAAAATACACATATTTTTAAATTTCAACCCAGTTTATAAACTTTGTTTTTACATAGATCGCGGGTTAAATTTAGATTTTCTTTTCTATTTTCAGTTAGATTTAGATTTTCATATAGATACAAGGTCAGATTAAGAGTTTCATATAGATTCTGAGTTATACAATATACTCTCTATGTTGAAGGAACATTAAAAAAAAGTTCCAGATAGCAAGTTTTCGAGATAACAAGCGAGATAACAGCTCTAACATGAAGCATAAGAATGACTACTATTAAATATGTATGTAATGATAGTTGACTATAAGTCTAAATGCAGCAATGATAATTTTATTTTTAAAAGTAAGACAAGAACAATTATGCATTAAATAGAAAAGAATTGGTGAAAAGATAAACTTACATTGTGATTTTTCCAAAAAAAAGAAAAAATTTTATTTCCACAAAATGTTTGACATAATAAGGTTTTGAGAAGAAACTTCTACATAGGACTTCTAATTTACATTAAGTGCATACATAATGCCAAGGGGAAAAATATTTTTTTGACATAACAAAGTTTTTGAGATATCGAGAGTATACTGTTATTACGTTTTTGCATAGATTCAAAGTTAAATTTAGGCTTTAAAATTAGTAAAACTGTTAAAATAAATAATTATGTGGCCTAAGTATGAAGTTGGCTGTCAAAAAATATAATTAAAACCTGTGTTGGGAAGAAACAAAATTACTTTCTGAACACTTAATAGAACAAAAAGTGTTTTGATAAGATTTAATTTTTATTAATTTTCCAAATTTTTTTATTAATTTTCCCAATATATTGTTAAACTATTTTGACCTATGTTTATAATTTTAAATACCTATATTTGTATAAAATCAGTTTTAGGAGTTTTTTTTATATTTTGTATGATCTAATTTGTTCGAAATGAAATATCGCATTAATGTTTAGTAACATGATTTTTCAATTCTTCACCTCATGTCAAAATGTTTGTGAGTTCCAATTGGTCGAAAAATGAAGAAAAAAAAAAGTATTATTCTTTTGTTTAATATCAAATATTTAGAAATTCTAATTTTCTTCATAACATTATATTTGCCTGAAAAAAAAGAAGATAAAACTTGAAGCCATATTAATAAATTTGGTACTTTTGCATTTCACCTATACAGGGGATAAAGTCAACTGGCACAAATAAGTTCAATTGTATATTTTTTTATTTTTTAAAGTTTTTAGGCGCTAGGTATATATTTTTTAAAAGATTGAAATATTTAAATAAATTTATTAAATAGCTGAATTTAATTGTGCTTTTACAATGGAAAAGTATCACAAATTTATGTTATAATTATTCAACAATAACACCATTTTTTTTTTAAGTATATTGTTGCATGATTAGTAAAATAACTATTCTCTAATTATTCAACTATAGTTTAAGCGTTTTTACAAACCAAGCTAAAAATAGCATTTAACTATTTTCAGTCTAGTTTGAGTTATTTTGAGCCATGTCTATATTTTTCATAACTGTTTTAATGTTTTCAGCTTCAAGATGCGCTTATTATGTTTCCTGGCTTCTTGCTGCCCATGTTAAATAAATGCAACGTAGAACCTGACAAAGCAGTACTTTCCGATCCACTATTTAGGCCCACAAAGTATGAACATATTATATGTATGCCTTTTTTACTTTTTGTATTTAATAACATTGTAAGGCTTTTAGTTAATCATAAAATATTGCTTTAGTTAAAAAAAAATTTTATTTAATAACACTGTAAGGCTTTGAACTAATTATAAAATTTTCCATCAGTTAAATTTTTTGATATACTTTTTTGATTATTTGATATACTACCATTTTGCAAATATACTAAGATGAAAGACAAAAAAGTATTGATTTATTTATGTGTAAAATTTAGAGAGCTATTTCAACTGTATGTTTTAACTCTGCCCCTCCCCCAAAATTGATTCTTGTATTCAGTGCTATCCAAAAAAGAAAAAACAACAAAAAATTAAGTGTTATTTTCTTTTTTGAGCGTAATTTTTACTCTTCAATTTTCGAGGAATGAATTTAATATAAATTAAATTTGTAAATTCATGCCACTAACATATTATTTTTATATAAATTAAGAGAAATAGAAATCTTTAGAATTTTTGATTGACTATTCAATTTAATTGGATTAAAGTTTCTAAAAAATTTAAATAAAATAAATAATTTTACTAAAATACATTGCATTCAATTAAGAAAAAAAAATTTTGTTTCTTAAATTTTATAGGGTTTATCAAAAATATCTTGTCAAAATCAACACCTTCATTGTTGTCACAAAAAAGTGTCCTTCCCAAAATAATCTGGAACCATCTTGCTTTTCCCATGCAAGACTGTTTTAATTTCTTACTATCTATAAAATTCGAAAGATGGTGTCTGAGTTTTCCATTGTTGTCAATACATTTTTATTGGGTAGAAAATCACATGGTAGGATCCAGTTTTCCCACATAAAATTTCATATTGGTTTGGTTGCCATGAGTATAAAATTTATATAAATTTTTGTTTTTCTATAAATGTTTTTGTTTCCCTAATTTAAAGGTTATAATTAACTGTGCTGTTATTATTATGTTTTTGATTTTGTTTGATTTCTAAATTAAGAGTTTAGAAGTATTATTTTTATTATTATTCGAATAATGTAATTTTACCTTACATTTTAAGATAAAGTTATTTAAATCATTGTCTGTTTGGTAAGCAGCAATATTAAATTGCATTTGTGAACTAACCAAATTTGTTATAACAATATACTTTAAATTTTAAATGCTATTTCAAAAATGATACTTAGAAAAATTAACTATTATGTTCACTTATAGATTTTAATAGTATCATAAGGAAAATATTTGGACATGGGAAGTAGTGGCACAAGTGTTTTATTTACTACATATATTTTTAGTTGAATAATTTAAATTGTTTTATACCAAGAAACAGCAATTATTGCGAAGCAATTATCAGATTTGATTGGCGTCAGCGAACAGGGGATTTAGCCCCCTAGTAAAAAAAAATTCTTTTGGATTAAAAAGCATGTTTTAAGCAGTTAGAATAATCAATAGTGCTGAACAATAACAATCTACTTCTTGAATTTTAAATACAGTAGAGCTCCGATTATCCGAACCCTTATAATCCGAACGTCCAATTGTCCGAATTCGTTTTTTTTTTTTCTAAGTTAAGAATACTTTTTAACTTATCAATAATTTTTCTAAATTTCTGAAACAGTAGATCTTCTGGATGATAAGATGCCAGGTTATGCAGCAGAAGAAATAGAAGACTAGTGTCGAGACACTGAAAACGTTCCAGGATTTCAAATTTTAAATTATGTTGAAATTGTTGCCGAAATTTTGAATGAAATTCGGAACTCCGCAGACGTAGAGGAAGAAGTAGGTGATCAGGTTTAAAATAGTGAACCTTTTCATATAGAAGAATACAATGCATTAGATATTGCAATAGATTGGCTAGAACATCAAAATGATGTTGATCCAGTTCAATTGATTTATTTAAAAAGAATAAGGGATATGGCTGCTCAATAAAGAGTACCTTTATTGAAACAAAAGACTGCTGGATTTCTTTTGCGGTGGAAAATAAAGAAAATGTGGTAAAATCAGTAATTGACAAAAAAATCATAAAAAGCTGAAATATGATAAAAAAATTCAAAATGAAAAAAAAATTTTTTAAAAAAAGTATTTAAAAACTGGAAAAAAAAGCTTTTAAACAGAGCTATTTTAGATAGTACTGCTATTCCTTAACCTGCAAAAAAGTGTGAAGTTAGTGCATAAAAAATAATCATTTAAACTAGATTTCAAACAACTTTCCAATTATCCGAACAACGTTCGGTCCCGAGCAGTTCGGATAATCGGCGTTCTGCGGTAGATGAAAAGCTGTCTTGTCAACTTTCTTACTGTACTAAAGAATAAGAATAATTTAGAATTTTAGGATTAAATTCAGCTTATGGTAATTGTAATTTTGCACTAAAAAAATTTGGTTTTTTCTTTATTTAATTTTGTAAGTTCTTTGAGAAATTATATTCGATTTTTTTATTCTTTCCTCAAGTTTAGTTCTTTAAATTTTTTTTTTGTTACATTACTTTGCATTTCAAAAATAAGCCAAACTCAAATCCCCTCCCCTTTTAGGTGCTTATATAATACTTAAACAGCCCCTAATATGAATTGAGATAAGAATTTCTAGTCAGTGTGTTTTATTGTAAGCAATACATTATTCTTCAATACTTTGGTCAGCTAGTGGCATATGTTATTTTTAATACGATGTTTATTTAGAAACTTTAAAGGTTGAAATGAAATTATTTTTAGTATTTATTCTTTTTATTATTTTTTTTTCATTTAGTGATCCAGGTACTGAAAAATTGTACTTACAATACTTTTTGTTCTTAGTAAATAATTGCTTTATTTTTTTTATTTTATATTCAGTTGCTGGATTAGTGTATTATTTTCTGAAAAAAATTGATTCATGGAGTGTTAAGTTAATGAAGTTAGATATTTTAATGTTTTATGTTTGAAAAAAACCTAATAAATGTCATTGTTTGTCATGCTTTTGTCATTTTAGTTTATATGTAGTATAAAAGTTTCTTTATAAAAAAAAGTATGAATTTTTCAAAATTATTTAGTGATCCTCCTGCATTGACTCAGCTTTTATCTCTGTATGTCGGCCGTACTTATGGTATTTGGAAAGCACCAGATATCATAGCCTGGCTGGAACGACAAGTTCGTGAAGTTATGTCAAGACACAAGAATGAAGACTTATTCTTTGAAGAATGTGAAGAAAAGTTGGTGACTCGTTATTTATATTGTATCTATTCATCCACATTTATTTCTAATATTTTTGCTTAAATGAAAGATGGGATGTAGAATTTACGTATGGATTATTTTATGGGTGAAGGTAAATTTAGAGTTGCGTTTGTAAATGGCGAAAAAATGACTTTTAAGATTAATTCATAAGTGCATTAAGCAACAAAATATGTGTTATCTGTTTATATTATTAATCATATACCATATTATTAATCATGTAATGAAAATCAGTTCAAGATAAAAAATTTATGTTTTGAGATATATATCTATCCATATATACTCATATATATTCATCTCTAAAGTCATGTTAACACATATTTTATTCTAACTGACACACCTTTCTAAAACCTCGGACTGACGGGGAAATCGATGCAGATGGTGCTAGAATTGATCAGTGGTTTAATATCATCTTCACTTAAGTTTCGCAGCATTGGGGAAGGGTATACCGCTCAAGAATTTCAAATAATTCAAAGCTTTGATTGTAAGAAATTTGGTCTTTGATACAACAATTTCCTGTTAAATAACAGTATTTGATGTATGTTTTAAATTCAATCGCATTGCTCAGAAGGCTTCCTTTGTCGCATTCCAGATGGCTAACTTTTATCAACCAAGTCCTTGGGTTGTATATAGGAAAGATCTTAAAAGCAAGACAAACCTTTTTAAAGAAAAAAATATGTCAATTTCAGTAAAGAGATTACATTTTCAAACAAATATCCACAATAGTTCATTTATTCTAGGTCGTGTGGTAAAAATAAGACAGTAAATAAGTCTATAAAAAAAACAATGAACATTTATTGACATGTACAGTACTTAGCCCTTGAAGAACAATAAGTAAAAACACAATAATTACTAGTATTAAGTTAAGAAATGCATTTGTCCAGAATCATAATTTCCCTCAGTGATCCCTTCATAAAGTTAAATCAAAGGCAGTAACCTAGTCCATTCCCTTATCCAAATATTTGAGACTAGACCAGCCTCAGTAGGTATTAATCTCAGTTAGACCATTCTAAATCAAATTTCCGTTCTCCTGGTACCTCCGCTAGCCTTTCCTGGGTGGCCTGCAAAGAGATAGTGAGCATCCGACAAGACGAGAACCTTGCTTGAATAATTTGCAAAACCCTCTGGTGATCATCAAAAACAACACCACGGGCACAGATAAGAGATCAGTCAGAACGATCGGTCAACAAAACAACTGCTCTCAGCCCGCTATCAAAATTCTTGCATGAAAAACAGTTTAACACTTCTGTCATTTGATGTTTAGACAATGACGAAGGTTTTATAGTACCGAAATATAGTATGTTCATTTCTGTACTTTATTTATGCTTTATTCACATTGTTTCTTGATTTAATCTATGGTATTGTACCTCCTCAGATAGATTTGTGCATTAAATTAAATTTTTGTTTTCTTAGAAAAAAGCTTAGATTTGTTGGAACTCCACGAAATGTTCTGAGGCATATAATATTATCGGATATCCGAGATGCCACTGCAAACCTTCCTCAGGTATTTATTCAAATATTAATATTTCTATATTTTGCCAATTGAAAAAAAATAGCAGTTTTGATAACAGCAAATAATTTTGATAATTGCAAATTTTTAAAAACAGTTTTGATGATTATGACTTTCAAAAAAATATTGCCTTTCGGATACTAAACACAAAAAAAAATTTTTTTTTTTAGTTATATCTTGCCAAAATTTTGTCAAAATGTTAAGCATCAATCAAGTTGCTAACATATTGTTGGCTTTTTTATGAACTAAATATTTTTAAATTTGATAGATTTTAATTTCGTTTATTTATTTTTTTAAGTATGTATCATGTGTTTTGCTTCATATGTTAATTCTAGCCATTTAAAACTTAAAGGACAATGATATTGATAGCCTCCAATTGAAAGTTTAGATTATTTAAATTAAGATGTCAATAATTATATTTTTGAAGTATGTAACACATTTTCATTGTTTGTTATTTGTCAGATGGATCATGTAATATTTATTGATATTTGCTGTTATGTAATATTTATTGATATTCTGTAGTTGAATTGGACTTGCCAACATGCCATTTTAAAATTCAAATAAAAGGGGAAAAATTATTAAATTTTTTTAAAAGTTTATGACTTAATAACTTTGATTTGGATTTTTTTTTTCTATACATAAAAATACATTTTTTATTTATTTTTAAATTAGTGTTTATTATATTAATTTTAGGATTTGGTGTCTAGTTCAATGTATGGATTTGATCCATTGCCACCTTTGGATTCCATATCATCTTATGCTAGGCCAACAAGGTATTTCAGTATTATTCTTTAGTATTCATAATTTTTCATTTATCAAATGAGATTTTTGATAAAAAATTCGTAAATTCTAGTCATATGGGACAAAAATACAGTAAAAGTTTGTTATAGCAGTTAAAATTAGCGCTATAACTAGCTTGTCTTTGTAAGGCAAACACATGTATGTAATGTTAAAATAGCAATAAAAAGATTAAAAAATGAAATAGACATATTTAACTCTTATTCTTTTATTTGGCAAAACTATTTTCATTTAAAAATGCATATAGCAGACTGCTTTTACCTACAAATTGTTGACTGAATTACATAGCTCTGTACTTTGTGAAATGCAGAAATGTTTGCGATAGGAATGTTCCAAGTTTCATAATCGCAATGAGTTTTTGCAAGAAGAAAATGAAGTGCAATACCTTATGATGACATTTGATATGAGTGAATGTTATTTTTAATGGTTAATAATAGTAAAATAAGAGGTCATGATATTCATATTCTTAATGAAAAGTATATTTTTTCGAAGTGTTCAGCAGTATTTCTAAAAATACCGGAAAAACTTTTTTTTTTGTTGGAAGGAAGATAACTTAGCCAGTGGTTGCACAAACATTGCTTTAAGGATGAAATGATATTCTTTTCTGTATTAATTCCAGAAATGAATAAAAATGTCTTTTTCGTGTAACATTGCTTACTTAAGCAACAAGAAGATGTATTTCCCTAAAAGAAATCTTGTCATAAGTAGCTTGCAAGTAATTTTCAGTGTGTTATAAACATAAAATATTTGTCGTCATAGCGGATTTCTGTTAATATACTGTACTTGTTATATCATGCTTTCACTGTAGTTAAAAAACCAAATTATGCTATTTTTATTAAATAAAAATTCTATACATTATAAAAAATCGATGCAAAAAAATTCTTTTTGAGTTCGGTTCAGTATTGTCCTATTATTAGGATGTAAAATTCTATATCTAATTGATCAGTCTTTAAATCTTATCAGATTAGATTCTTATAATAAAAAAAATCTTCGCTAAGGCACTACTCATGTATACTGTTTATCATATGGATTGGGAAGGAGTAAAATTTGTTTTGTTCGCTTTTCAGACCAGTTGTTCAAGATGACCGTGGGGTATTAAGTACGTTCTTCCGTTCTCTGCTGCCTAATTTTAACGTGGTAAGTATAAAGCCAAATTTTCTGTTTCTTATGAACTGAAACATTTGTAAGCTGACCACTTGTATTGCAACTTTTTTAAGAAAGCTGATTCATTAATTTTTTTAATCTTTTATATATTCACAGATATAGCTTGTTACATAAATGTAGCATTAAAGTTATCGTACGTCATTTATTTAAAGTTTCATATTATTAGGATGTAAAATATTGTCTGTTTGATTATTAAACAAATTAGTTATAGAAAGATGCACAGTTTGTTGGTAATGCAAGCCAGTTAAGATTGCTATTTGTGTTATAGGCAACAAAGATTAAATGACTGAAAGATTATCAATTGATTAATAATCACTGTTTTTCTTCTTTGCAGAGTGAAAAGAATTGAAATTATCCTTTTTAGAATGACAATGAGTTCGTCCTTGTTGTCGGATATCCAAACTTGGTTTATGCATCGTGCGAGCAATGCAGAAAAGAAATCTATAACAATAAATAAATAAATAATTCAAAATTTAACCACCACCAAGTTAAAAAAAACAAACAGTGTGTGTAAATAACGATAGCAGGAATGTTATAAACGTTTCTTACTATTTTCCCAAACACGTGCTATAACGAGTTCAATCTTAGCATAAAGGGTCTCTTAATCTATTGCAAAAACATGATGTGTTATTACTTGCTTTTAATTCAGTTTTATGGAAAACCGCTGCCACTCTCTTCTTTGCAACATACTTCTAATTTAGTAAACATCTTCCGTTTTTTCTTATGAAGTGGGTACTTGCACTTCAAGAAGAAGATCATACGTGACCTATGATGTCTGCAATATTTATGGCAAATAAAAAAATTTTAGATTTTTCTGTCTTGCCTTCATATGATGAATGGGAATTAATAATCCTCAATCATTTATTTACTACTCAACATGAGATACATTCTTGGAACTCTTATCAGTTACAAAAATTACTAACAAATGAGGGTTCGCAACTGCTGTCAAAGAGTTAGCATTAATATTGTTTATAACCATTTTAAAGGAGATGACAGCAAACAATTCTGTTAATAAAAGATAGATTCTGTTAATAAAAAATAGTTGTAAATCATGAAAAATTTAATCAGAAGGAACCTGAATATCTTAAATTTTTATTTTGAAGGAGAAAAAAAAAAACTTTCTAAATGCATACAGCTGAAAATAAAAATAAGAGCCAGCTTGACTCCCTTATTAGCACACACGCTATTTTTGGATTTTGTTATAGCCTTGCAACATAGTTTCTTTGATTATTCGAGTCCACATTTATATTTTTTATACATTAAAAATGTGGTCAAAATATTTATATATTTTAAAACTATGAAAAATTTCATGATAGTTTGGTACCTTACTAATAAATATTCATAAGTTATTTTGATGTATTTAAATATTTCAAACTTTTTTTCTGCTTAAACTATCTTGTAGCAGATTATTAAAGAATAATGATTCTCAAATTTATTGTTTTATGTGCTGAATATATTGGCACAGTATTTTAGGTACTTGTTGGTATAAACTTTTTCGCCAGCTACTTTTTGTCTATTCTAATTTTAGTACTTCTCAGTATTAGGAGCTACTGAATAATATTGCTATACAGTAGAGTCTCAATAATTCACGATGGATGGGAACGAGCCTACCTCGAACCTGCGAAAACTTGAATTATCAAAAACGTGAAATTGAATAAGTCTTTAAATAAATGGAAAAGGAGCAAGTTTTAAATTTCAGTTTTTAATTGAAAAATATATTATATTAAAAGAAAATTTAGGATTAAAGATTTTATGATTTGATTAGGATTAGAGTGCATTTAATGCATTACACCAAGTTACATTATTCATTATATAGCTGTGTCAGGTCAATTGTGCTTTAAAATAATTGTCAAAAGTTTCTTGTTTAAGCACACTGCTCGTCTTTTGCTTAGCAATATCGTGCGATCATCGAAGTATCATATTGCTGTCTGGAGTTAATTCAAGCTGTTGCTTCACGTATCACATTACAGATTCTAGAGCAGCGAGACCCACACTGTGACTCATTCGTTACGTTACTTGGAATCTGCAGGATTCTCCTCTTCATTGTCCACTTGCATTTCTGGAGCCTCCATCATTTCTACAATGGCAGCACCTGAAAATTTGAATTGTTCATCACTATTTAGCCATTCGTCCACCTACCACCGTCATATTTGGTGCTATCCCGACATGAAAATTTTTTATAAGGCTAAACCATCATCAATGATGTGATCACCAATCTTCATCAATGATGTGATCTCTAACTGCAATTTCGTTTTTTATCATTCAGTCTTATTAATCATTCTAAAACCAGTCATAGCAATCATTACACATTTGTGAGTCGATCATTATTTGAGAGCAAGATTGATCTTGTTTCACCATCTCAGATTTATTTCTATTGTACTTGTATTCATTTTATAATGGATGACTATGTGATTGCAGCTTACATTCTTACTCATGCATTAGCCAATCCATGTGGCAAAAAATCCGGATAATTGGGCAATTTTAAAAAACAGCTATGGGAATGTTTTTAAGTAATTTCACTGTTTTTCAAGGCTTAGGATTAGCAGTGCTATTAGTGTCTATTATAGCATATTACAAATAGCCTGTTTTATTTTTTTATACAATAGCCTGTTTTATTTTTTTATTATGTGTAAAGTTTTATTTTTTAAAAATTTTATTAGAAATGTGTTCCTTTATTTAAAACATTTTCCACCCACTTTAAAACTCGGCGAAAGGAATGTGAGGCTCTTTCCAAGATCACCAAAGGAGAAAAGAAGCCATTTTCCTTCCTTTTCAGATATTCTGAAACTAAAAAAGCATTTTTGCAATATTTTATTTTATTTATTTTTTTGAAGAAGGTGGAAAAAATACAGTGTCCTTGAATGATCCAGATAATTAAATTGTCTGGTAAATTAGCATTTGGTTAATCTGTGCTCTACTGTAAATGTAGGTAGTTAACCCCTTAACGATCGGTTAATTTTCAAGAAAATGGTCATATAAGTGGCTATTTTTTTATGACACGTATTTGATTAGTGCTGACATCTAGTTTAAAATTAACTATCTACAATTACCTTAAAAATATCCTGGTACTGCCATCTGGAATGTAAAATAAGAAATAAAATGTTTTCTGGGCAGAAGAAATGAATTAGTTTTATTCTTATTGGCTCGTTACTACTGAACAATCCCATCCGGGAATATCACAGGAGCGAGAAATAGAGGGAGAAACTTCACCCCATAATTTTCCCGGGAGCGAAAAGGAAGGGGTTAANGAATTAGTTTTATTCTTATTAGCTCGTTACTACTGAACAATCCCATCCGGGAATATCACGAGAGCGAGAAATAGAGGGAGAAATCTCACCCCATAATTTTCACGGGAGCGAGAAGGAAGGGGTTAATAGTGATCTAAATTTAACTGGATTATTACTCTAATCAAATACATTCACATGTACTATTAATTTAAAAAAGCACTCTTTTGCAAAACCACCAGAAAATTATGCAAACTGGCTGTCACAGCTTTGGTAATGCTTAAAAGTTAACTTTGCCATTATCAAAATATTGTGTATGAACTAACAGAAAACCGTTTCTTCTCTAGCCTCGGGATGGTGCTGCTGCCGCTGAGGCTCCTCGCGAGGCCGGCGCCCAAGGAGGAGACGTCAGGGGGGACCTACGTCGCAGTGTCACTTCTCTTCTGGATGCCATGAGAGATCTTATAAGTAATATCCACCTAGCAGACGTTCCCAACGAGGGAGATGTTGACAGTGATGAGGAGAGGGAACGTTGAAACTTTAAGTGTGCTTTTTTTAGTACGTCCATTTTTGGTTACCTTTTATCATTTCACATTTACACGCATTATCTTCACTTTTTAACATTAAGTGATGAAATATGCATATATCATCATACTCTTTGAAAGGAGTGATTTGGTATTTCACGACATCTAGTCAGATATCCAGGGATTATGAATCCTTGTCTGTCATTTGACCGTAAAAAATTGTAACAGAACAGCTTGTGAGAGCAGTTGGCACCTGTTGAGAAATGGCCATCTTTTGTGCATTAAACAGTTTGTGGAATATATAGTGTGATTGTGTAAAATGATAAAATCTGGTAAGAAATTACTTTTAAGATTTAACAAGGTCAAATTCTGGAAAGTGCTTAAGCCCAAAATTTGTCTTCAAATAAATTTATGATGAAGTTAGAGATTTATAATTAATTTTTGAAAAAGATAAAAAGTAAATTCAAACAGAACTCAAGAAATGTGTATGCTATACAGAACTTCATCAAGGGTGAGTTCAGAACTTCATTCCTGCTGAGATTTATAAATTGAATTACTTTTCATACATTGAATATGATATTGTATCAAACTTTTTTTTTTTAAACTGTCATTAACAGGTTATTCCCTGATGAAGTACTGTATTGCCTTTGTGTTTCTTTTTTTCTATTTTATTTTGCTTTTTATCTACATGAATTTAATTACAGTATATTCTGGATAACTCAAAGTTCAAGGGACGCTAAAAAATTTTCAAGATAGGGTGATTTTGTGCTAACAAGTTCAAAGTTAAATATGTTCTTAAAAGTATAATATATTCTAAAATATTATGCTAAAAAGTAGAGTCATGAAACATAAGAATAATTATGCATGTAATGATAGTTGAGTATAAGTCTAAATACAGCAATAATTTTATTTTTAAAAGTAAAACAAAAATAATGATGCCTTAAATAGGAAAGGAAATTGGTGTACAATAAACTTTCATTGTGATTTTTCTGAAGAAAATTTATTTTCTATTTCGAAAACTATTCAACTTAACAAGATTTTGAGATGAAACATAGGAATTCAAATTAACATTAGGTGGATATGTAATGCCAAGGCGAAAAATATTTTTTTGACATAACAAGAATTTCGAGATATATAAGTTTGAGATATCAAGAGTATACTGTATTATAATGAATTTTTAAATAATTTATTTGATACTTAAATTATTATCATTTTAGAATAACTTTATCAAAAGTATATATTAACTGTTAAGGCTGATGTGCGTGACATTAACTTTTAACTGAACTAATATCATTTACATAGGCTCTTGATTCTTTTAAAATAGAACTTTATTTTAAACAAAGATCATACTTTACGTTGAAATTGTGTGTATGTTTCAAGTATTAGGAAGGTAGATCTTTGTAGTTTTTAATTTTTATGTATGGAATATTTATCTAAATGAATCATTTTGTGATTATTTGTGTTTTTTATTTCAGGATAATTTTAAAGCTAGATTATTAAATTCTTTTAAAATTAAGTTTGGAAATTCATAAAAGTTATCTTTAGGTAACTGCCTTTATGGTTATAAAAAATACTATCAGAGGTTGATAACTATGTTCAATAGAACCTAAACTTGGATGAGAAATTATTAAACCTCCTAAATTGCCAATAAATAAATTCCTTCCAAAAATAATTAAATCCATTGAATTTACTTATTTATTATTCTTTTATAGGTTAATTAATGGTCATCCGAGTAAGTGTATATTATGAGAAAATTATTGATACAAAATGCAATTTATTTTACGATTTTCTAAATTTCCAAATCTCGCTTCTCTTAATTTTTAGCCCAAGTTATGTTGAAATTTAAATACGAATAGGATTAAAAAAATAACCAGTCGTTTTCAGAAATAGATAAAACTCTTTGATATTTACAATGTCATGCTTAAAAGATGTACCTTAAAAAAATTTCTAGCAAATTTGAACGTTTTCTGTAAAATAATCCCTTATTATTGTGATAAATTCAAAGCAAGTTTTTTCTGAAAAGAATAAGGTTTTTATTTGGAAAGAAATAATTGTATTGGGCAACTGGTTAAGACATGTCTGAAAGTGTATTTTAGTGATGAAATGTATTTTGGAAAACTTTACTTGTTAGTTAAATATTTCTCAAGATGTGTATTAATCGAACGAATAAATTAAAATGCTCAGATTTCATACCATCCACATTGTTTTTGTGAGTATTCTTATCTATGAAATACTCCAATATATTAGTTTTTGAGTTATATATATACTTTTTGTCATATTTTGTAAGCAATTTTTGTAGTTTTTTTTATTTTTTAAGCTGAGTGCTACATACAGAGCATAATATTCTGACAGAAGAAACAGTAAGTGGGAAAATTGTTCTGAATTTAATGCCGATTTTTTCTGCGACATTTTCCAGCTGACAGGAAAAGGGAAATTGTAATAAACATATCAGTTTTAAATTTTGAATTTTTTCCTCTCTTTTAAACTGAAATGCAAGGAAATAGTGTTGAGTAATGACTAACTTTTAATTGTTATTATGTATGTTACCAGCAATGTATAAAATATAAGAATTATTAAATACTTTGAGAATTGTTAAATAATTAAGTGGATGGTTGTGACATCACAGAACAAGACATATTTTCTCGACTCTCTTTAAGTCGAGTACATGACCGAGAATTTAATTGATTATTCAATAAATACATTTTGTATGAAATACCAACTTAATTATGAATAATAGGATGAGAAAATAACACTGTAACCAGTTTTTCGGGTTGTTATTAATAATATCCAATGAGACAAAAGATGTGTGTTGGGAATACATGGCAGTAACATTCAGTGCCTGATTTATCATCAGACCTGCGAGGCCTCAAGCCCCACATTTTTGGGGGCCCCTTAAATATTAGAAATAATTCATTTTTGTGTTTTTCCTTAAGAATTGTCTATGAAAGTTATGAGTTTACAAAAATTTAAACATATATTAGCTCTATTTACTAATATATCGTAATTTACTTGAATTCTAAATTATTTAAAAACACTTCATAATCTAACAGTGTGTAAATTTAGTTTAAAGTAACGACCAGGGGGCCCACATTTCTAGATCAGGCCCTGATAACATTATTGTGGGTGGGTAGCACTGGGCCCTTCATCTAAAAATAAGATGAGTGTACGGAACACACCCAGCACATCCTTTGCCCTGTCATTGATAATGCATAATAGTCTCTAAATAAATATGTTTCTTATTAAGGAAAACGAAATAAAATGTGAACCTATTTATGTCAGCAAGGAATGACTTCCAACTTATATAAATAAATCATAATAGTACTAATCAAACGAGCAATTGTCTTATTACATACTTGCTGGTTTATCATTTGATAGTTAATTAGGCATGTTAAATTATTTCGCATTTTGACAGTCAGCATCGTATAGAAGGCTGGATCTCCAACTTTGCCAGTAACATATGTAAACCATTGTTTTATTAAAAGTTTTGTGTTATGAAAAACAAGCTGTGAATGTTTATTAAATTTTACCTTAGACTGTTTATCAATAGAAAAAAAAATGCTTTTAAGTTTTTGTCTTATCACTAAAGAAGAGTAATTATTATTTCTGTAGTCATATTTTTCTTCCCGAAAAATTGACCAACCATTGTGAATTGCTTTCCTCCTTTTGTAACTGGGTATATTTGATTTCTGAATGTGCACAGTTTTCAAAGCACATTTACGCTTTTACAATTATCATACGACCTTTAAAATTACATAAAAGTTAGTTTTTATATCAATTAAAGAATTTAAAAGGATTCTGTTTCATAAAAATACTGAACTAAATATTATTAAAAGTGTTTCAGCTTTTATACAAAATCTGTTATTATTTTTCAATATTCTGTGGACATTAAAAATAATGGGTGCATTGTTTTTGTAGTTATATGTGTTTTACTTTTTAGTATGAATCCAAGATTTCTAAGTTTTCAATATATATGTTTAATGAATTTGAGTATTTTAGCTCAAAAATTATAAATTTTATTTTTTATATGAAAAGTATATTGTTTCATTTATATTTTACTTTCATTTAGAAATGTGTGACTTTTTTTTAAGACTATAATATTTTTTAATTTTTGTAGATCGTTAACAGATTCTAAATCTGGAATTTAATTTTAAAAATTTCAGAGATATCTTTCTGCTTGTGTTATGAGACAATGTAAGAACAGGCATGAAGTTTTAGGAATTTTTTTGTTAGAATTTTGAAGTTTTAGACTAGAAAGTTTTCTTATTGAGATCTTATTCAAATTTACATTTAATTTTTCCATTACATTAACATTTAATTAACCAGTACGTTTAATTAAAAGGTTGTGTGCCAAAATTGATTTAAGGAAATAAATAAAGTGTGAGGGTTGCTTTGCTTATAGTGTTTTTCTTCAGTTTCTTTATATTTTCAACTTTAGAAGGATTTATAAATTAGTAGGCTAATTGTACAAAACGTATTGTAAACAGTACAAGAACAATATAAGAAGACAATTAACAATGTAAGAAGACATGTTCATAAGGTAAGTTTAAAAAATACTTAAAGTTTTTGTTTTTTAATCGTAAGTAGTAACCTGGAAGTCTTATTACAAATTTTAACTACTAGCATGGCCTGTACTTAGCTTTATACAGTTTAACCTTCTATATGTTTGATAACTAATATTTCTATGCAAAGATAATATAATCAGCTAGACTTGCCATCATTCTTTTGCTTTTCATAGCTATTTTGAGAATCAGACCATCATCAATTTTTCTCCGCTGATTCTTCTTATCACAGCCGTGCAATAACATGCGTTCCATTTTAAAATAAGTAGTAAGCTGTTGTTCTCCAAGGCTGCTTTTCCATCACATGACAAGATACCGACAAAACCAACTCGATTTTTGTCTGACAATGAAAGGTTCAGTAAAATACAAAGCTGAAGCATGCATGCTTTCCCAACATGATGGCATTTATGTTAGCTTCAATATATGAGAACGGCATGTCGAATAAGTACCCACATTATCCCATCAAATCATACTGGCGTTTTTCTTTTTTGACTTTTTCTTTGTCTTCTATTTTACAAAGGTAATCGGTGTCATTTTTAATTAATATGTAATTGTTCTTTTTTTTTTAAACCTGCAATCCGGTCTTAAAAAATAAATAGAATTACACATACATAGCTGCCAACTCAACTGGATTTTGCCAGTTTCTCCTGGTCTACTGGTTTAATAAAAAATTCCCTATCGAAATAGAATTTTTGCACAGATTATTGCTAGTTTGAATATTTAAATAAGTATTACTAGTACCATAGACATAAATTACATTTAACCTTTATTATGTACTAGCAGGGACTATATTAGTCTCTGCTAGTACATAATAAAGCGAGTCTTATTTATAAAAATCAGTTTCAATCAAGTTCATTTAATGTCAATCATTTCTGGAAAATATTGCAGTTTTTCTATTTTGATGACTTTAAAAACTTCTAAAAATCCCTATGTGAAAAATATTAGTGCAGGGTGTGTAGCCAAATTATTCAACAAGAAATAAGCACCTTTTAAGTACTTTTCAAGCACTTAAAAAAAATATGATTAATTTGGCAGGGTTGGAAAGTTTTTGACAGTGACGGTTTGATCTCGTTTTAACCGTCATGTCAAAAAAAAAACAACTTTTGGCATTGTTAAAAATCATAAAATTTTGAATCGTATAAAACGAATGGTGTTTCATACGCTACGGGCTGACAATACGCCGAAATAGATTGGAGTTGAATTAATCGTGAAAACGTTGAAAAAAACAATGTGAACTGTGTCTTTTTACATAATTTGAAGCGAAAATCAATATAGTAAAGGGAAAATCTCATTTTGAAAAAGGAAAAATTAAGCACTTTTTAAAAACACCCAATGAAAAAAGCACCTTAAAGGGCTTTTAAAAAACGAAAATCCAAAATAAGCACCTTTAAGCACTTTTTAAAAACGCTACGCACCCTTTAGTACATTATGCAACAATTATCTTGAAATTTATATTATTTGGTAAAATCTACTGAATTTTTTCCTATTCATGTTGGCAGCTATGCACATAATATTTTATTATCCAAGATGCATACATTTGTGCTTTAAATTTTTAATCAGTCCAAGATTGTAGTAAAAACACAAAACATTTTGGGGAAAATCATTTTTTGCATGTTCATTATTTTATAAACAAAGAAAGAAATTATGAGCAAACTTTTTTCACATTTTATAGATGGAGCCATTAGCGTAGTTTGTGTTTTCAAAAGAATAGTATATTTTGGAAAAATCTACAAAATAATCATTTCAATTTTTTCCTATTTCACGAATTCTTCATATAAGGTCTTAATATTGATTCTGTTTTGAAAACATAATTTTATTATTTTTTGGGGGGGGAGGAGGGGCTCAAGTAAACTGTTTAAGATAGTAATCGTTCTGTAATGTCATTATCCGATTTTATCAGTTTCGAACCGTATAATGAAAAAGCACTCTAATTAGGATAGGTGCAAATGTTTTTTTTCTCTACATTTACACTTTTAAATGTTTTTATCTTTTTTTTTTTTTAAAAGGTTACAGTTTCAAACTTTGATAAAGAAAAAGCTAGCCACGTTATGTGATGAGATATCTGTCCTCATGTTATTTGTTGCTTGTCAAAAGATTAGTAAATTCTTAATATAAAGCAAATTCATGTTGTCTTCGAATAAATATATTAAATGTTTGCCTGTACATAACTTTGTAAATTTTAGAGTTTTCAGAACACTTAATTGTGTTGTAACTAAATTGAATTAATAAAACATCTCTGCTAGCATATGTCTGTAATGTTTTACATCTAGCTATCCAACCGCTTGAAATTATTAATTATGTGGTGTAAGAATATGAACGTTGAAGTTTTTAACTGTTGTATGTAATTAGTGTTTTTCAGCTCAGTTTTTATACTATTTCTACTTTTTTTGTGCAAAAGTAAAAAAGTCCTGGATTATTTTTCTAAATTTTATATTCCTTCTCATTTTTTCATGTGTATTGACGACATCTATAAAACATGCACAATTATCTTGAGTAGAAATTATTCAACATTGTTTGCCTTACTGTAGTTTTAATAAAAATTCTAATGCCTAATTTCTGATTGAATAACTGTGCCTTAATGTTAAATGCTATTTTAGAAGTTTTATACTTTAATGTAAAAAATAGGTTACACCACAAAAAGAAATAGTTCAGAATTAATTAACGATAACCGTGAGGTGTGTGTGATTGTGTCAACATCTAACTCCTGTTCTTTAAAAGCATATGCTTAAATTCACATTAAAATGTCAAATGCTTATAAATATATTGGCTGGTTGTATTGTTGTTACCTACCATGTATTTAAAATAAAATTTGTTTGTTACTTCTTAGTTGGCCATTTTTTTTTTTACCATTGTCATCAGGGTTGAACAGCTGATTAATAAACAGGTTCGTTAAAAATAATAAAAGCAATTTTCTTTTATTTAAATCAGATTTTCTAACTGTTGTCATTCAAAGCTCTTATAAAATATAATACTAATGCCTAGTATGAATAGACATTTCTTTTTTATTGATTTCAAGGCTGTCTGTGATAGAATAAAGAGAGATAAACGCAGGGCTCAAAGTTGTCCCTTAAATTCTTTAAGAAAAGAAAATGTCCTTAATTTTTAAGCATATCAATAAATGTCCTGAAATTAACAGGAAGAAAAAAATATCTAAAACAGAATTGAAGAAATTTCAAAAATATGCCTTAAAACAAATTTTATTTGACAAATCTGAGATAATTGCTTTTTTGGATGAATAACATAAGATTTTTTGCTCATTTAAAATAGTGAAAGTCCCTCACTTCATACTTTAAAATCTTGTCTGTAAATTTTATGTAGTTTTTCCATAAAACAACTTAAAAGTACTGAAAATTTTAAAGTACTAATACAATGACAAAAAGTAAAGGGGGAATAGAAAATTATGTAATCGGTGGATGCAATTTTGTTTACATTTAACTATCAAATTAATTTATTTAAATAAATTTCTGGTGTACATTTTACAAGGTTTCCCCGAATTAAAATTCTGAACATAACTAAAATTGGTCATGCCCAAAAAATTATTTTAGTTTGGCTTTTAAGTACCTGATGGAATACATCGATTTCCAGAATTACATTATGGAATAATTTTAAAATTTCTGAATATGGTTGAGCCAAACATAAATTAGTGTGACCTGGCACTGAATACCCAGTAAAATGTATATGGTAAATACCCAGTGAGTATATGGTAAATATCTATTAATACTATCTTACAGGGTTCATACAGAGATCAGAAGAAATCCAAAATTTTAAGGACTTTTCAAAAATTAAAAAACTTTGTGTAAAAGATAACTAGACAGTTTTTTTTTTTTATTAAAAAGCTCCTACTATAAGAAACTCGCAAAAATGTATAATTTGCATATTTTTTTCTAGCCTTATTGACTTTGACAATTTTGACTTATTGACAATTGCCTTATTGACTAGCCTTATTGACAATTTTGACTTTGTCAAACTTCACCAAGAAAAATAAAGCTATCACTTTTACACATAAATACATTTTCCAGTTTCAAATATTTCAGTACAGATGTTAAAGATTAACTAAAAAACCTACCAATCTTATTTTTTAAAATTTGAATACATAAGAAAATCTAAGGCATTTCATGTATAAAAAAAAATCCCAGTAAATTATTAATTAAATTTGCTTGTAACATGTCAAATTAAAATTATCTGCTGTTATTTTATTCTTCTAACTCTTGCAACTCAGTTTTTTTTTCTTAAAAGCTTTCTTAAACTATTAGATTTTGACAGTTAAGTCACATAATTTAATTTCACTGCTGGGACAGCAAATTCATCAGCGTACTTGGTAAGTTCATCTATGCAACACAATAATCTAAGGAGTTTCTAAGGACTAATTTAGAAATCTAAGCAGTCCCAAGCACTCCTTGGAGATTTTTTTTATTTCCAAGGAGTCTGTACGCACCCTGTATCAATTACGAAAACATCCCAAGGGGGATTCTAACCCGTGATCTGCCTACCATTGAGGTCAGTGCGGAATTTGTATCAACCAACAATAGCTGGGATTTCGAATATGGTTCACTTCATTGGGAGGCGAACGCTCTATGAATCTGTGTTCAGAGACTGCCAGTATTTAATTGTTAAATTTTTTTTTAACTTTTTAAGAAATTGCCTATTTGGCGACTTTCTCCCTCGCCTACATGAATCATAATTAATGGATGCATTGAACTTCTTTTGCAATGTTAAAGCCATGAATTCAAATTTTCCTGTTTTTTACATTTAAAGTTAACACCAGGTAATGTTGATAAACTTAAGTGCCTCTAAAAAAGATATTTGAAAGAAAAATTTTCAAAACCATGATTCATGTTATTTTTTTAAAATTATAACTTGAATGAAAAAATAAGGAAACTAAAATAAATATGCAATTTCTAAGTAAAATGTAAATAAATACCAGAAAAATCTAGAAGAACATCAGAATCACATTCTATTATCAAGTTGCTGTTTTTTCTTTTCTGTTTAAAAAAAAAATTCTAGCTAAAATTGAGATTTTTTATTGAGAATTTATCTCCCACATCCTCTAGTACCAAGAAAAGTTTAAAATAAGACCCTGGCTTGAATTTGCAAGCTTTTTTTTTTGGTTTTAATTAAAAATAAAAAAATGATGCAACTATTTATAAGAAGTTGTACAAATTAAAAAGGCACATGAAACTAACAATTTCATTATAGCATCCTCATTAACTACAATAACCTGAATAATTTGAATCTGAAAATTAAAATTTCATTTTATTAATTTATTTTTAACAAACAAGATAAAAATAATAGCTAACTTTTTACATAAATTGCTGAATAATAAACTGTTTATTTTCGCTCTTCATTATTTATTTTTTTCTTACCATATCTCACATTTCTTAAAATAGTAACTTCGATTTAACTTGGCCAGCACTTAAAAGCGTAACACAAAATAAAAACAAGAAAATTACATACAACAATAGCACAATTTTTGTTTAACCCCTCGCTTCCATGAAATTTCCGGGCTTGAGCGTTCAGTAGTAATGCACCAATAAGAATAAAACAAATTCATTTCTTTTGCCCGGAAACATTTTATTTCTCATTTTACACACCATATAGCAGTACCAGGATATTTTTCAGGTAATTGTAAATAGTTATTTTATTTTAAACTAGATACCAGCACTAATCAAATCCGTGTATTTGGCAAAATAGACACTTTTATGACAGTTTTCTTGAAAATTAACCGATCGTTAAGTGGTTAAGCAAGCAGGCATTGTAGTTCAATCTCATTCTTTCATTACTAAGTTACATCATTACTTGATCATTTCGCAATAGTTATGAAAATAAATAATGTTTACACTAAAATATAATTTTTATTTAACAGAAAATATTTGTTATATTCTTAGGAAAAAACAGAAATTTTAATACTGAAAATAAATGGAAAAAGAGATTAATTCATGAAACGTAATCTACTGAGTGTCACTCATGAAGATGTCCAACAAAAGTCTGACTCATTTCAAAAACTCAGATATAAAAGGTATTAATTGCGGAAGCAGTAAAATTTTATGCAAAAATTTTGTAATTAAAAGTTGCCAACAGATAGCGCTGTACTAAGTTCTTGAAAAAGAACACAAATTCTGACTTTACACATGATATTTCAGCACCAGTCAATAGAATAGATGGTTTAATACTACATTATCAGTAGGACAATCTTTTTTCCCATTTTATAAGTAGAACTCATCATTCTGGTCATAATGGTTTTGCAGAGCCAGCTGGTGATAACTTTTGTAACTAGATTTCTGCCTAAAAGTTAAACAGCTTTTGCAGTAAAATTTTTTTTATTTCATTCTAGTATCGCCCTTTGTTTTGGAGATTTTTAATTTTAAAATCAGTCGGTCATTTGCTGGGAACTTTAAGACTCGCTCCATACGAGTTAGTAGTCTCCTTTTGCCTATATAATCAAAAATTTAGTATAAAGGGAAAAAATACAGTAGAATTTAAGAGTAAACATTTATTTCAATTTTTTTAAATTGATTTATACTTTGAAATGAAATAAAAAAAGTGAGCTACAAGTAAGTGAAATCATGACTTGAATTCACTGCACATTTAGATTCCCAAAACTCACTTTTTTACATAAGAAACAAGAATTTTCACAATAGATAATTTTCATAGGCCAAAAACTAACAATATTTTACATAGGTTACATATTTATTGATAAAAAAATACATTTCAGTCCATTCATTATTTTCTTTTAAAAAAGATAATCAAAAAATGCTACATGTGCGTCAGTAATCTACAAAGACTAACAATGAAGAAAAAAAAGAGTTCAGCTGGGAAATTAAATGAAATACAATTAAAACATAAAAAAGAATAGCAAAACTTAAGCACATTTTTCTTTTCTTTATATATTATACATTTCACCTTGATAATACACAAGGTACTTCTGTAGCAAATGAACTTATCTACAATTAAAAGCTTGTTTTTATTTTTATTCTTGTTAACTTATCCATCTCATAACATTCAAAATAGTAAGTTTAAATTAAACATCAAAAACAAACAAATGAAAAGTCTAAATTAAAAAGGAAAGCTCTAAATCAATGTTTATACTTAAATTATACATAGTTTTCGAAAATAGCTAGACCAAAAGAAAATTTTAGGCATGTTTTTTTTTTTAATATTTTAAACTCTTTTTAAAACCATTTTTAAAAAGATACAATCAAGAAATAAAGCATAAAATATACACTCAATTATTTTTAAAAAATGTATACTTATTTTAAGTTTTAAAACTTTTAAAAACTGATCTAAAAGTTCGAACTAAAGGCAATACACTATATCATTAAAATATTTTACATGCCTAGAATTGGATAGAAAAAAAAAAGGGTAGTAAAAAAAAAAGAACCAAACCATCTATTTATGTTCTATTTTTAAAACATTATCTAAGTAACCTCATTATTAAAAATATGACATTAAACTATTGAATAGTTATTAAATGAAAGATAATCAAAGCATTAAAAATATCAGGTCCATTTATGCTTGATTGTATAAATTTTTACACATGTAATTAACCATAGAGAATGATTTTCCACTCGAAAACACAAATTATAATGTTACAATTCTGGAGTTTCAATTTTCACCGATTTTGAAGATTCGCACTAGAAGAAAGTAGATCTGGAAGAAAGAAAAAAATTCGTCAATTAAAAAAGGAAAATGCAAGAATAACAAAATTATACGGTTCATACACAAAATGGGACAATTTAATAACTCTTTTTCTTGATTATATTAGCCACCATAAAAACTATTTAAGCAGAATTTCGAATATATTCAATATTGAGTCCCATTCCTTATTTAATAGTGCAAAAAAGAAATTTAAAATTATTATCTGTTAAACTATAATTTAAAAAAGCTATCAGACGTTTTTTTTAGAATTAAATAAAAGTTATTTACATAAGCATATTCAACAAAATATTAAAACAAGATTAATATTTTCGATCATACTCAATTTATAAAAGATATGTAAAGAATTAAGCATACTAGTAAATTAGTGAACGGCCCTTATTAAAAATCTGTTTCATGGTTCAGTATTTCTTTAAAATGAATGAAATTTTTTTTTCTCAATAGTTTTGGAATGTAAATACAATAAGTTTTGAAGGTAAACATTTTTGTCAGAAATAAATTATTATATGGTCCCTACATTCATAATATTTAATAAATCTAAGATTATTATTTAAATTGTTTTCAAGTCAAATCATTAAGAGATGAATTTAAGCATATCGGAATGACAAATCTGAATTAAAAAGATTCTTTATTGCACTTGTTAAATGTTGAAACAGTAAAAAGCATTTCACACTTTTTTTTTTTAAAAAAGTTTGCATTTAAATATTTTTGAGTTTTTTCATAGAATAGCTAAAAAAGCACTGAAAATTTTATAAGTAATTAAAAATAAGTACAACAAGTAAAGCAATTTTTTGATTCAATTTCAAAGGGTGGAAAATGAAGCCTGAAATCGAGAATCTCTTGCAAAATAACATGGAGTTGCACATGAGAACATAAGGATCCTTTCCACCGAATCGAGCTCAGCGTAAGCACATGTTTATCCGCATGTATTTCATGAAACCTGCAAAATGATTGGCACTTTCATACGAATGGATTGTAGTAAAATGAATGGTAAAAATGCTGAAAGGATTAATATAAAAACACCGCTTTCTGCATAATTGGTGGCGAAAATAGACACTGTCAAGAAAAAGAAAAAAAATCTCATTTTAGGAAAGGAGAACTGAACTTTTTAAAACCATCCAATAAAAAAAATCACCTCTAATGGCTTAAGCACTTTTAAAAACTTTACACGCCCTAGTCTCATGTTGTCCATTTAGTATGTTATGCCGCTTATTTCATTTTCTGCAGGTAAGGGAAAATTGCATACACCAATATTGTCAAATTATCCTGTATTTTACACTAAATTCTGCTTTGCACATAAAAATAATTTTTTCTCAACAAAACTAGCAGAAATTTTTTCTGAATATTCATTTCTTTCTTTCCTTTTTTAAATAAGAGATTAGCTGTTCCTAGCTTTTCTGGCATTTGTTTTATTCGATATTATTCTTTTGTCTGTGAGAGCGGAATTTTACCCTTGAGTAAAAATCAATAGATGTTGAGATGGGCAAAGCACAGAAGGATGGTTAAAGGAAGTATGGGAGCTTAAAATGTAAAACTTGCAAGCAGAATTTTTGCCCAGAAATCTTCAACCCTTGAATCTAGGAATACTCTAATCACTTAAAGAACGTTGCAGTTAACAAATGGTATATTTTTTTGCTTGATTCCGGCGGCCTGAAAATTTTTCTAAAGCAAAACTGTTTTGGAAGCTCTGAATTAGTTTTACACAGCATTGGATAGTGTCGACTAAAGTGCTTAACAAATGAATTTAATAAAGCTTCTTGGGGTTTATTGCTCCTCGGTATCCAACGGGAACATATGCCTTTCGGAATAAAATTACATGCCTGAAAATCTTCCAAAGTCGATGACACGTGTATCGACTGCAACACAGATCCCATTACTTTTCAATTCTTTCAATATCAAAGCCTGCTCTCAACAATAGTGGTGAACACGAAGATGTGAACAAAAAATAATCAAAGCATATGCACACAACTGATCATTTTGAAAGCATAAAAATTCTGCAACATTTGCAAATGTAAAATACAAAGAAAATCTGGAGAGAAAAAAAAAAAACGTAAGTAATGAGAGGGATAATGTTAAAATCGTATATATATATATATATAAAAAGCAATGATTACTCATTTTTCTAGTAGTTAAATAAATCCTGTTTCATGCGTTTTTTTAACGCTTGTTCAACAGAAAGCCTTAAATCAGGGTTCCACTGTATATAGACCAATTATCATAAAAGCAAGATTATTTAGTATGCACAGGTAACGGATTATACAAAAATTCCAGATACTTGAATTTCAAAAAACTAAGACATTAATTTTACTTTATTTCCAGCATAACCACACATCAGCATATAAAATTTGAACAGAATCGGCACCTTTAAATTATATCAAGAAGGAAAAACTACAATACTATATGCTTGTAACTAAAATTACAAAAGACAAAATGTGGGAAAGTATTTGAAAAAAAAATCTTTTTATATAACTCTCTTTTAAGACCAAAAAAATTTGTTTTTCATATTACTTATGATAAAGACGTGTTCTGAATTAAGCAGAAAAGAAATGCATACATAAAATCATACTTCATATGCAAAATAATGAGTGGTCATAGTTAAATTTTCATAGAATTGTCAATTCAACACATAGACTTAAATATGTAAAAATTACAAAGCTTGTAAATTTTTTATACCAATAAAAACTTAAAACCAAGGGATAATATAAAAGACTTACTTTGACGATCACCATACGACATTCCTCTGTTATCCCTATATCCTCCACCACCCCTGCGGGGCATATAGCCTCGACTTCGGTAGTTGGCTCTTCCACGCCACCCATTTCGCCTCATCCAATTGTTGTTAGCAGACACACCAAACGTTTCTACATTCAGTTTTCGCTCTTGACGCCAGTCGTGACGATGAATATTACTGCAAAACATTAAAGCTTCATGCAGCAAAAATAGTAGGAATGCACTATCAGCACTTTTAATGTATCGAAATTTAATTTTTATAATTTAACTAATTAAAATAATATCAATAAAAAATTAAGCAAACAATTTTCGACACAAATAAGACTGTGTTATGGGGTTAGGTCACTCTCATGATTTTCAAGCCCCTTAAAAGGTGCCTTAATCATTTAATAGTAGCATAATTTTGAGAAGAACAATTATAAGAGTTATTTTACTTTTCTACAAGAAAATTATATATAACTAAGTGTATGAACAACATATGTATCCATTTAAAAAATTTTTTGCATTACTTTCAGCTTACATATGGAATAAGCCCTGAAATCTAGAAACAAGCTACCTTTAAACACATACAGGCACAAGAAATAGAGTGCTAAATATCAACACGTCATTTTGAAGAGAGCAAGAAGGAAGGGGTCAATATCTTAAATTTCTGCAAAACTCTTCACTGTTCTCTGTGAGCATCAGTATTTTTCTCAGAGCAAAATTTTTCAAGACAGGAGAAATCACGTCTCAAACGAATCTTCCAATAATTTTTTAAACTACATTTAAAATCAGTAGAACATTCAAAATAGAATTCTTTAGGGAAGAACATTGAATTTTATAGCTGACTATTTTGCAATAAGCAATTTTCTTCCAAATTGAATGAACTATTTTTGGACATTTAGGATTAATTTTTCTTCTTCTTTTGGATGCCTCATTTAAATTGCAGTAAAGAGCTCTGAATATTTAATAAAATATATCTGCACAATTCTTTTTAATGTGTTAAGTATAACTATTAAATCCTAAGGAAAATTTAAAAGTTTATTAAAAAAAAAGGGCAAGATTCTGTACAGTAAGCTTTAAGCATACTGGGACAAGTGATCCATAAAAGGATTCTGAATAAATTATGTCACAATAAATGGCTATTATATTTCTATTTTACAATTGTTCAAATATTAATTTTGTTTATTGTTTCTTGTTGTGATCATCTGGACATTTTTCACTAAACTCGATAGCAAATGTGGTTATTAAACACTGTCTAAGTAAAATATATTTCAGAAATTTATTTTCGTAATTTTTCTAAAACCTATTCAATTCTATATTACAAATAACCTAGGTATGAAAACACTGCAAATATTTTGCAAGAAAGTAATTTAGTGGAAGATATCTCAATGTATTATTTAAAAATTTTGTGTTTCCAGTATTGTTGATTTGAATCTACCATTTTTAAAATCAGATGAAGGCAAATCAATATTTGAAAAACTGCACCTTACAAGATATTCCAGCTCTAGCTAAAAAGAATAAAAGTAGGTATGATCCGTCAATATAGTAGTTCCTAAACTTTTGTGTCTCGTTGACCCCTTGCCATGTTTTTTGGTTTTGGGTAGACCTGATAATGATTTTTTGTAAATTCATCAACTTCAAATGTATTTTTGGCAGCTGGTATAGTGCTGCTCACTTTGTGACAGATTTAAATTTCTAACTGTAGTGAGAAAAACTTAAAATTAATATTTAAATAGTGCACTATAAGACCCGTACTCCGTTACTAATATTATAATTGTGGAAATATAAGTTTGTACAAAACCGTAGTAGTGTATTTTAGGTTTGTTTATTACATTATCACGTAAAAACCAAGCAACAAATCTCCGTGATCTTGTGCACAGATGGAGGTCTAGCTAGCTAAAGAGTTGACACAGGCTAAGCTACAATTTAACGTGGAAAAATACTTTATTACAAAATAAAACCTTACACACAGAGAAAATAAAAACGCATGCGGGCGGAGCTCCAGGCAACTGCTAGTTTATAATAAATCAGTTTCATACATCAAAAAATGACCCTAATAACTTAAATTTTTACTTCATAGCTACTTTTATAAATTATGTAGAAAGATATATGCCTTTATATATGGTAGTATAATGTAAGTAAATAGGTACTATCAGTGTATGTTGATTAGTCCATACATGAAATGCCAAAATTAAGTCACGAACTGCTTATGAGATCCACTATCGTTGACCCCCATTTTTATTTCATGGACCCTCCCCCAATTTTGTTTTCACTTGATATGAATACACTGCAGGTTTTTTCGACCGTATAGACTACTTTGGGTATCACTGCTTCAATACATCACTATAAAAACATGTTAATTCATTGTTAATTAAGCTTTTTTTCATAAAATGACTACCTAAAAGTTTGAAACAATTAATCCTGCAGATAAGAATGCATCTGAACCCCATATGTTATAATTGCACTATTTCTAAGCTCCAACTATTAAATTTTGTGATTTTTTTAAAATAAAATAAAAATATTTTGAAATGAAAATCCAAATCTTGAAATTGACTATTTTAAAATCAACATTTTTAATCTCAGAAAATGGAATATCTTGAACAGACATAAATATCAGAACTATGAACCTTACACATGGATAGGAAGAAAATGCAGTAGGATATAATAGAAATTCCATGATAATCTTTGCATAATGTACTAAATATCTAAAACAGGAAAATTTCTTCTGACCTAACTCTAAGAATTAAATCTACCACCAAAAAAATATTCTCAGATTCTATGTCTAAAGTCTATGTTCAATGAATGTTATCCTATCTAACTTACCCTTTGCTTCTTTCAACTGCTTCACAACTTATGTTGTCAAAGAAGGATTTAGACTTGTTGTAAAAAGCCGCTTTATTCTCGCTGTCCTCTCCTTCAACATCTCCCCCATTCTCGTCATTCCACAACGCATCCTTTTCTTTTTCTTCAGTCGAATCAACGAGAGAATTGGATGTTGGAGACTCTAAAGATTATCATGTATCATTCATTAATTTTTCAACATTATAAAACGTTTTTTTTTTTAAATATCAATTACCAATAGGCAAATGAAATAAATTCATTACCCTCTCCTACAAAATAATTTTTTTATTTTCAAGGGCAGAGTTACAAAACAAAACGTCTTATTTGACTATTCACCTTCCAGTACCGCCACTTATCAGATCTCTATCACTTCTTACAGTAAAGAAAATGACGAAAGGAAGGGAGAGTGATGGAAATTTCTATAATTTTGCTCAAAGTATCTTTTTTTTTTTTTGTAGGAAAGATTGTTATAACCATTTTGAAAATTACTCTAAGGAAATCTACAACTTTTTAAGCACTCTACCACAGAATTCAAGGACTCTTCAAGTACCATTGGAACTCTGGCCAAAGTAACGATTTTTGCTCAATGATTATCGGAGCAGCTTGCAGAAATTTTGGGAAAATTGCTCCAAGCTGTTCCAACCATGACTATAATAGCCTATTAGCTGTGTGCAAAAATAATCTGCTTATTAATTTCAACAACTTAGTTTCACATTCATTCAAATAAAAATACTTTATAACCTTCCTAAGCACATAATCTGTATAAATAAATCTTAATCTAGTCTTCATTTGATGTCAAACTGATCAATAGAATCTTTATTTTTACAAGTATTGAGCTTGAATAAAATTTAGAATTTTTAATTAGAAATATTAAGTACTTTATTATAAAATTGCCTTGAAATCGTATTAAGAATTATTAATACATTTTATCCTTAGTTTTTTTTTTAAACAAAAATTATGATTTATGCCATCCCTGCTATAAAATGTTGCATACTAGAAACACACTAATTTTTGGAAAACAAATATTAATTTCTAACAGCCTTGTTTTAAATAGGTGGCCAAATATAATAACAAAATAAATAACTGGAAAAAAAAGGAATACTGAATTTAATGAGCTGTGCATCATAGGAATTTAAAAAAAAGTAGTTTCTTCAAAATTTTTCAAATATCAACAAAAATAGGAAACTAACTTGATGGTTCATCTTGATCACCAATTTTTATCTTCGCAAGCTTGCCCTCTAATTCCTGAAACTCTGCATTGGCTTGTTCAAAATCATATTCACCTTCAAAGTCTAACACACCTCCCTTGGATCGACCAAAATTCTGGCGGTTTCTGCCACCCTGGCGACCTCTTCTCTGATTTCCTATTAGAATATAATTTTTGTCAGAAACAGAGCAGACATTAAAAAATAAAAATTTTCACACATGAAGTTGTATTATAAAGGAATAACAAACACAAAGAAAATGTATGAAGGATGAGGAAAAGAACTGCCCCTCATCCCCCTTCTTCTGAAACCATCATTCCAGCGCCACAACTTCCACGCCCCACCACTATTCCTTTTTAACCAAAAGAAACAGTTTTCGTTTGTTGCTGAAAGAATTAACTTCATAGCCTAGCCGGGGCATATACTTGTGTAAACGGGGCAGACGGCCCATATTTTTAAACTTTCATGCTTTTTTCATAAATATTTAATATTTCATCATATATGTAAATTCATTTTATTATTAAATATTTCAATCATAGAAAACCCCATGTATATATGTAGGATGATGTTGATGACCATTGATTAAGTCACTCAAAATCAATAACGATCACACTTATCCTTTAATAATTAACAAGTTTTCACACAGACTCTTTCTCCAACAACACAGGTTAGTTTAACACTTACAACTTCTTTAAACACAAGTCACGCAGACTCATACTTTAACCACCTAGGTTTTCTTTTACATTTTCAACCATTACTCTTCCTTCCCATCGAAATAGCTCTAATAATTTTATCAAGGAGAACGACACCTATCGGACTCACGCAGAGGTTGATACGTCCCGTTTATCACATATACATTGTTCTGCAGGTTTTAGTAATTACATATCAGTTGATAAATTTATTATGTGTCTTATTTATATTTCTAGCTCATGCCAATTATCTTGAGCAATGGAAAACTGCTTATTTCTGCAAGAGCAAAAAGTGTCAGTTTTATTTCAGCTTAAGGCTGTCTTTTATTAACAGTACATTCGCAACTTTACATAAAATACTAATGCATGAATGGTTTTGAAACAGTCCACACTCACAACAAAGTTAACTCAGCTTTATTCATTTTTCAGCACAGCATGGAAGCCATACTTGTCCAAAGAATTAATTGGTTATTTAGCTAATAATTATAATATTAATGAATAATTTTCATTCTTTCTAAAATAAATAAACAAATAAAAATAGCATAGGCGTACAAAACTGTTTTGAGCAAAGGGCCATGCGCACAGTAGATTAAAAAACAAAAGGCTGCATGACTAAGTACTTATACATGTTGACAGCAATTAGGGTTATTTCTATATGAGCATCAGTGTATTAGGCCAAGGCTTAAGAATGAATATAACGGCTAGTTCACACTTTTAAGAGACTCATGCCGATCCGAGCTTCTGAACTGTTTCACATGCAACTAGCATTTTTTTAAAAAACTTATTTCAAAATATTGTTTTCCATAATTTTTTTTTATTATTTTGAGGTGATTTTCTTCTCACCTGATTACAAAAAGTAGTCCAGCTTGTGTGACCGACAAGAGTTATTATAAAACACAAAAAGAAAAAATGCAAATTTACCTATTTTACTTCAGAAAATATAACAATGACATCAAATGAATTATAAAAATGTACTAGAAGAATTTATTGCTGCAAATAAGAAAGCATTATGCTCTATGTTCTTTGTTTAGACGTTTAAGAACTTTTAACAACTTTAAACAGAAAATGAAATCCTGAACCTCAAAAATAAAAATTTATGATTAAAAATTCTTCGAATTTTTAATGTCATTATTCGAAATATTTATGTGTAATATTTCCATTATTATATGCTCAAAAATTACTTTTTTTGTAATTAGCATTTAAGGTTTTCGTTTCTGAGGAATAATGCATAAATGTATGAGAATATATTAAAATTATACATCCCAATTAATAAATTGTTATCGAACAATGTGTTACTGTAAAAATGTTCATATGCTTTCTTTCATTTAACAGTAAAAGTAAAAAACTAAAATTAGAAAACAATAATGAAACAATGAAGAGAAACATAGGGAAATTTTTTAAACTTTACTTAATACTATAAGAAAATCTATGAATACTATATTTTTTAACAGAAATAATTTGTTAGCATGGAAAAGTTTGATCTATCATCTATTCAGAAAAGTGTCAAACATTCGAACGCATTTTATACAGAAAGTATAAACAGCAAAGTTTTCATATCCTTTAGTCGTGATTTTTGAGATCTGTGTGCAGCGTAACATCATGAAGTGGGGAATCATAGCTTCAACTTTGAGTAAGGAATGAACCAGCCCTTCTCTTTAGCTCTTGTACAAGGCACTGAATCCTTTTTATAAATTAACTGTTAAAATTCATTCAAATCTGGTGTTTGTTTTTTTCTTCTTCAAAAATTTTCCTTCGTTTAAAAAACATTAACAATTTAAAAAATTAACGGAAAAAACTTTTCGAGTAATATAAATAGAAAATAGCTTGTTAAAATAAGAAAATCGAATTCCTGTTACAATAAAATGCAGAAACAAAAATTGCAAGGAACTTCTTATGATCTGGGCTTTCGATCAATTTTATATCTTTTATTACTTGATTTTTCAAATTCTGATATTTTTAATCGACTGCTGTTATGACAAGAAAATTTAGAATTAAGAGTTATCACTCACTGATGCGCTTAATTAATGAAGATTTAATTATAACTTCTCGTCATTTTTCGATAGATATTTGTCGTTTTTCGGACACCTCCACATGATTTTTAGAACTTTAGTATTTTCAATACAATATTGTGACAACCAAAGTTTGAATTCACTTTTTGATGTACTCAGCTCACTGTCATAATTATTAATGCCCAACGGTAGACTTAGAAAGATTGCAATATACTACATACTGCCACGCTGAGGAGAACGTTGTTGCGGATGTTGTCGCTGTTGCTGCTCTTGCCTGCGTCCTTGACTTGTAGACCTCCGATTTGTTTGCCTCTGAGAATGCTGTTGACCTCTGCCCTGCTGTCTCTGAGAGCGATCAGACAAATGATTAGAGGTAGGAGGAGAAATCTGTAAGCTGGCATCAAGAGAAGGACTCTTTCTTTGTTGTGGAGTGGGAGTAGGAGTTTCTGATCTAGAATCTAAAAGAAAAAACTTTCATATTTATGCACACAAAAATTGGGGGAAAAAAAAACTGCTAATAAAATATTTTTTTAAAATCTCCTGAACATGAATAAAATTAAACTTCAATTAAATTTACCTTCAAAAGTTTTTCCTTGATATTGAGCAGGCTGGTAAACATAACTTTTAAATTTTACATAAAAAAAATTAAAGAAAAAGCAATAAGTTAAGAAAAAACTTATTTGAATAAGAATTCTTTTTTAAATGAACAAACCATAGCCAAATAAGTTTTTATGCTCCAGGTCAGCTTATGAGCTAAAGTTTGGTTAAGCCTCCGGGAAATATACTTTCATATATGTTTGAGTTTCGGATTTTATGATCAAAGGGACCATTAATTATTATTAAAATGAATATATAGTATTTTAATTTTAAAAATGAAAATATATAGGTACTGCAGCATTAAATTTCCAGGCAGAAATTATTTGTCTGTAGAATCATCCAAAATTAAAAGCACAAATCATTTATTTTTTAATATTTTTCTAAAAAATTTAAAAGACTAAAAAAAATATTAAAAACTAAAAGAGGCTTAGAGGATGGGAAAATTTAATGATTCATCTCCAAGGAAGACAATTCCGGATCCCTCATGCTCCCTATTTAAGGCATACAAAATTCAGTAAATACTTTGATTTAACTCAGAGAAATAGGTAAAAATCAAATAGGTACTTTCGTGGCAAAATTAAATATAATTAACAGCTATGGAAATTAAATACAGTGAAACCTCTCAGGAGCGACCACTCTCTGTTCCGCGGTAAAACGGTCGTTAATGGAGGTGGTTCGTTCCAAGAGGTTACCTCCATTGACTTCAAAATTGTTATCGCAGGTACGTGAATTTTCGAAAACTGTTTTAATATTAGTCAGTGTCATTTGCTTGGAGCAGAAATGTCACTTCTGTTGGCGTCACGAAAAGACATATCTATGAATTTAATATAGCACCTATAAAAATGATCCCAACTGTTACAATTATGTGTAAAAACAAATGTACCAATTAAAAATGATAAAGCTATTTTAAATAAATAAACAATTATGCTCTTTATTTTAAGTTTGCATTTAATTTCGTACCATTAAAATGACTTAGCTTTAAAAGATGAGAAGTAAGCTTCTTATTTGCTTTGTTAAATTTTTTGTTTGGATAATTTTTTGTTTCCTTATTTGACTATTTTTTTCCATATTTAGTCAAGATCTTTTCCCCGTTGCTGGGAGAGGTTTTAATGGTCTCTCCTAAAAAAGCTTTCTTCAACACAAAAAATTCTGTGCCTCCCAAAAGTGGTCGTTTATAGAGGTATCACTGTATTTGAACAAATAAATAATTTACCAGATTGCTGGGAACTGGCAGTGGTGAATGGCTGTGGAATGTGCTGTAAATTAGATTGTGTATAATTCTGAGAGGGTAGAGCTCCTATAGGACCAAAAGAACTGCCAGACTGATTAAATGAATTTGAAGCAGAAGGTACAGGTGCAGAATGCTGAAATAAAAAAATACACAATTTTAATAAAATAAAGATAAATGCAGAATAAATAAAAAGATTAATTACAATAAAAAAGTCAAAGTTTTAAACCAGGGCTAGAAGTCCAAAATAGAAAACTTAAGGACAATATTGACTCAAAACTTAAGGACAATGATTCTCTAATGTGAGCAATTTGTACAATACCAACATAGATTTGCTGCTATACAAATGGTAATAGTTTTGGTAGTTTTTGCACTTAAGTGGAATTTTTTATTTATTTTTAAAACTAGATTTTTGTTTAAGTTACCAATTTTTTTTAAAAAAAGGGAGGGAGGAAAAGTCTAAAATATAGAAAATCATTAAGTAGTAGCAAAATAGGAGGATTCGAGAGATAAGAGCTTTTTTATATATTTCTCCCACATCAAATGCTTTTATGCCATCAAATCAAGGGTAATTTTCTCTAACACAGGAGGTAGATTAATATCGTACTTGACACGCTATGAAGACTCTGTCAATCATTTTGTTGTTTACTTTGTTTCATGGTATAGAACATAATTTTGATTTTGAGATTTCCTCAATTCTTTTTCAGATAAATGATATTTACTTTTTCTGAGAACTTCAACAAAAATTTGGAAAATCATAAACTTTTTAGGAGAAATGCTTAATTTCAATACTAGTTTCTTTTAAATAGTTCAGAATTTTCAATCTTTTAAAAAAAGCGGTGACATGTTTGCGAAAAGGGCCTCAGTTAAAAATGCTACCACTCACCACTTGGCAATGACAAATTTTTTTTTTTTAAATTTTGCCCTTAACTGTTGAGGTGGAGCCTCTAAACTTTGTAATTTTTTTAAAAAAATAAACACTTGCATCTACCTTATAATCAGAACGTTAGAAAAAGTAACATGTTGCGCGTTTTCATGAGCAAGAAAGAAAACACGCCCTTTGATCTTTATTAAGGTTGAGGCAATAAGGAACAAAATGGAATAAGCAAATAAAAAAATATAATTAATATCAGCCGCCTACGACAACTAGTGTGGATTTAATTTTTGTCTCCTACATGTTCCTTTGGTATTATTGTGAATTTGTAATTAAAAGGTTTAGTAACAGGTATGTTAACATTAAAAAATATATTCTCGCCTTGATGGACAATAAATCAATCAAACAATTTTGTAAAAGTTAAACTTACTTGCTTCCATTAACCATGCAAGCCAAATTAATTTCTTCAATAAGTGATTTTTGTTAGAACAAAACTAACTTAAACTGTTATAAATTTCTTTAAGTTTAAAGAATATACAGATCTAAAACAGTAAACAATTAATTTCAAAGCAAAGACAAAATTAAGTTAGCTTAATGCACAGTTCAAGGATTAAAAAACAATGTAACCAAGAAAATCAGTATTTACGCTTAAAAAATTAAAATCAAATTTAGCGTGCCAGGGACTTTTATTAAGACCAGACACAAAGTTTTTATTATTAAAAAACTGTGACAAACCAGGGTTGGGGTTTTGGACGCCCTAAACTGGTTTTGGACAGGACACTTGGGTTTTACTGTCTTAAACTGGGTAAATCTGTCCTAAACTGGGTAAAACTGTCTTAAAGTGTCCAAAAAAATGTGTTGACATACAATTATAATGTGTTGACATAAATAATGTGTTGACATACAATTGTGTACTAATATATTATTATAAAAACGGTTACATTGATACTTTACATTTAGTGAAGAAAAAAAAGTACCAATTGAAAAAATAAAGCTGGAAATTATATTTTCCTCAGTTCACATAAGAGACAATTACTACTTGAAAAACTACCTGGTTTAGCAAATTAAAACTACTGAGAATATACATTAATATTTCATTTCTTTTAATAAATACTGTTATGTGATTTATAGCAAATATATCAGTAATATTACTTTTTAAATTATATTGG